GGTCAAATAGTTGGATTGTATTGTTTAGTTCTTCAGTGTCTTTGTTGGGTTTCTTTGCAGTTGTTCTATCTTTCATTGTAAGTGGTATATTAAAGTCTCCTAGTATGACTGTGGAGTCATCTGTTTGTCTTTTCAGTTCTGTTAGAGTCTGGTTTATGTATTTTGGGGCTTTTTCATTGGGTACATAGATATTTATTATTGTTGTGTTCTCTGGTTCAATCAATCCTTTAATCATTATATAATGTTCTTCCTTGTTCCTTATGGTGGTTTTTGTCTTAAAGTCAATTTTATCAGAAATTAATATTCCCACTGTTGCTCTTTTATGGTTCCAATTTGCTTGCTGTATCCTTTTCCAACCTTTGTTTTTTAGTCTATTTTTGTCTTTGTCTCTAAGGTGTGTCTCTTGCACGCAGCATATTGATGGATTATGTTTTCTTATCCAGTCTGCAACTCTTCATCTCTTGATGATGCATTTAATCCATTAACATCCAGTGTAATTATTGACAAGTATTAATTTGTTGCTGTCATTTTGTTATGTGTTTTTTCGTCATGTTGCTGATTTCTTTGTTCCATATAATTTTCTATGCAAGTTCATTTTGTTTATGAAATGTGTTATCATGTCCTTCATTGTTGTTTTAGTATTTGCCAAATATTGGTGCTTGTCCTCTGTTTTATTTTGATGTGAAGGTTTATTGTTTTTCTTTGAGGTTACCCTGTGATTTATAACTTTCTTCCCAAATTTAGTACACTCCATTCTATCTTGTAGTTGTCTTGACTTCCCTACCATTTTAGAAGTTAGTTGTGTAACTACACAATTTCTTCCCCCTTTTTGGTTTGTAGTTGTCCTCATTTGTCAAATGATGTCTCTGGTTTCCAGTTTACAATCTTGTAAGCTTATTTACTTTGGATACTTCCATAAATGGGTTGGTTTCTGGGTTATGTCATCATGTGTTTATAGTTGGTTGTTGTTTGCTGTTGTTGGTTCTCTGTCTGAAGGACTCCCTTTAGCATATCTTGTAAGGTTGGTCTGGTTTTAACAAATTCCCTTAATTTCTGCTTATCTGAAAATGTCCCAATTTCACCATCATATTTGAGGGAAAATTTTGCTGGTTATCTAATTCTTGATTGGAAATTTGTATTTTATTTTCAGGGTTTTAGACATACCATCCCATTGTCTTCTCTCCTGCCTAGTTCCTGCTGAGAAATCTGAGCATAGTGTATTGGTTGCCCCTTGTAGGTAACTTTTTGTTTTTCCCATGCTGCTTTCAGGATTCTTTCTTTGTCTCTGGTTTTGGTGAATTTGATGATGATGTGTCTTGGTGGTTTTCTTTTGGTGTCTATCCTGTTTGGGGTTCATTGGACTTTTTGAATGGATATACTCTCATCTTTCATCATACCAGGGAAATTCTCTTTCAACAAATCTTCAATAATTTTCTCTGCAGTTTTATTTGTCTCTTCCTGTTCTAGAATTCCCATTACACATAGATAATGCCTTTTCATGGTACATCACATGAAACTTAGGCTTTCTTCATTTTGTTTTAATATTTTTTTCTGATCGATCCCTTTCCAAAGAAATATTCAGGTACTTGACTTTAATCTCACTAATTCTGTCTTCCATTGATTCAATGCTACTCTTTTGCCCTTTCAATGTGTTATCTATTTCTGAAAATTTTGTATTAATCTGCTGGATTAATCTATCTGTAGATTTTGTATCATTTCTAATTTTTCATTTATTTTGTCATTTTGTTCTTGTATTGTCTTTTGAAATTATTCTAGGGTTTCTTCTGTGTTTTGCTTGATCTGTCTCTCAATCCATTGAAGGTATCTAAATATAGTTCTTTTGAATTCCTTGTCAGGGAGTTCCAATGTTGCTTCTTCCTCAGGGATGTTTTCTATTTCTGTATCCTGATCTCTTGTTTCTCTTGCTTTTTTGTGTGGACTGTGATGCTCTGTTGTCTCTGAGACATTGTGACTTTTTGTGTTTATATTCAATTGGTGATTGTATGTTAGAATGGCTTGCCCACAATTTTCATTTTCTTTGCTTTATTTGTTGTTATCTACATAAGCAGTGTATTGCCCTCCTCTATTCTCTAGTTGGCAGCACTTATACACTTACCACCTGTCTCCTTTCCCATTGTCAGCCTCTTGTATGTCCCTGCCATCCTTGGCAAGTGCAGCCTATTCTTATGTCCTGTTTTCATTCAGGCTTTTCCACTCATTAGTTCCTAATCCACTTCTGTATACTTCCTTTTAGTGCTTAGGGCTCCAAGATTACCTTCTGTAGCTCTGTCAATTGGTTTCTTTTTTCTTTGTCTGCCTATTTGGCCAGCTTCAGTCTCACCTTATTTTGCTTCATTTTTCTCCTATTCTTTTTATATTTCTATTAGCTGATGTTTATTGTCATTAACTAACTCATTTATCCTATACCAAAGAGCTCTGGTAGCACAATGCTTAAGGCATCTGACTGCTGACTAGAAGGTTGATGGTTCAAACCCACCAGCCACCCTGTGGAAGCAAGACTGGGTAATCAACTTACTGCCTCAGAAACCCAATGAGGATGACTATGAGTCGTAATCAACTCAACAGCAGTGTGTTTTTTTTTTTTTTTTTTGGGGGGGGGGGGTACCCTGTACCAAATGTTTAGTACTCACACTTGTGAGTTTTGTAGTTTGTTAACTTTCATCGAGCTTAACCTAAAGTTAAGGAGCTCTGGTGGAGTAATGGTTATGTGTTTGGCTGCTAACTTAAAGGTCATCAGTTCAAATGCAACAACGCAACAGGAGAAAAGACCAGGCAACCTGCTCTAGTAAACACCCCAGTTTATGGAACAGTATGGAGGAGGTCTAGTTTGTCCTATATGGTCACAATGACAATAATTTTAAATTTTACTTGGAACAGTAGATCCTTTTTCAATTGAAACAGTACTTAACATTCTACAAATTATATTCTACAAAAGAAAATGTAATTTTTCTTTTGTAGAATATGATTTGATATCTCAGAGGCTAGAGTGAAGGAGGCCTCAAATAGCCTTACTACAATGTACCCTTTTCACTCCCACAGATAATCACTAACCAGATAATCCTCCTTATCAAACACACCAAAGGCAGTTCCTAAGTGTATCTGAACAGTAGCTTTCAGTTCCCTGCAGCCTATGGAATTAATCAGGCAAGCCAATCACACCCCCCACAGGGAGTGTGTGGAACCCACCTTTTGATACTATAGAGCCTGCCTCTCATGACCCCTCTTGTTCACTCTCTTCCCAAGTGAAAGTCCTCTGTCACTATGCATGGCAGGTAGTGTCATTCTTTCCTAGGCTGTCAGTACATGTGACTAACAACCGGTTGTCCCCTGAAGTGTCAGTGCCAGGTGTCCTGTGTTTTTCCTTCCCAATACCCTAAGGACAGGAATCCTTCCCTCAGGAATGAGTGAATACAGACAATCAAAACAAGCACTTTCTTTCAATGGCATTGAAAATAGTAGTGCAAGGTAAAAAATGTTACCTTGGAGTAGTAATGTGTAAGATATTGTGTCATGAAATAGTGTACAAAAATAGAATTCAAAACATTTAAAAAATCATCTCTCTTTCTTATAAGGGAGCTCTGGTAGCATAGCGTCTAAGTCACTTCACTGCTAACCAGAAGGCTGGCAGTTCAAACCTACCAGCCACTCCTTGGAAGGAAGATAGGGCAATCTACTTCTGTAGTGATACTGCCTTGGAAACCCAATGAGGGGTTGCTATGAGTCAGTTCCAACTGGACAGCACATAACAACAACAACAACATTTCTTATAAAACTCCATAAAGTGCCAGATATCATATTCAGAATATTGGGTGGGATTATCTCCCCCAAAGGATTACACATACATGAGCATGTTAGATGATAGCATTTTCATCATTGTTATTATTCTCAATGTTATTATTGGACTTTTTTTCTGGAAGGGGTTGTTGATCAGTGGCAACCGTACTATGTCACCACAAATAGGAAATCTCCTTGAAAATTTAATCAAGGAACTTATTTAGTGTCTAGATCATTTTTTATTAACACAACTATTGATGTTACATTTCTCCAAAAGATAACATTTTCAGTTTACCAATTTGTCTTTAATGCTTAGTTACTGCTCACTAATATAGTATTGGGAGCTCTGGTGGCATAGTGCCTAAGGCATTTGACTGCTAACCAGATGGCTGGAGGTTGAAACCCACCAGCCCCTCTTGGTAAGGAAGACTGGTAATCTAGTTCCGTAGATATAATGCCTCAGAAACCCAAGGAGGGGTCACTATGAATCGGATCCAATTAGACGGCAGTGAGTTTGGTTTGGTTTTTGGTTCCTTCATTTTCGTACCTTAGCTGAGAACTGGCTCCAGTCTGTTCTCAGAGAGAAACTAAGTCTAATCTCAGATTCCTGTCATGCAAAATTGTCTCTAGGGTCTTGAATGAGCACTTCAGTCATCAGTATATATGCTCCCTGATGTGGTTTCTGGGCCCTAGCTCCCTTGATTCATTTCTTACTTAGAGAAACTAGATGCTTCCTAGTTCCTACTTGATTAATCTTTGACCATGTTATAGGGTGAGGGGGAGGAACTTGTTCCTTCCTTTCTTGCAGTTCTCTGTGCACTTTCAGCTTCCAGGGTAAGGCAGCCCTTTTCAGCTGGAACCTTAGTCATAGTACATACAAAAGATCTATGCCAACCCACTACTATGGAATGAACTGTGATTTTCAGTGACTGCATCCTTTTTAACTACCTGTAAGTTTTTCTCCAAAACCTCTTGTGGTATAAATGCACCATATGGCACTGTCCATGACCACCTTGATAATATTACCCAAACACAATTTCACAATGTCTTTCTGTGGTTGATATAGTTGTTAGTTGACAAGAAGTCATTTCCGTTTTTTGCAGATCCTGGTTAACATTCAGCTCTGTTTGGACAGTCCACTTCTGTTTTATTTTTTTAATTATCATTTTTTTCCAGTCTGTGTAATTTACTTTGTAGATCCATCAATGTCTGGAGAAGTTACATATGCAGATCTAAACTTCCAGTACTCCAGTAAGAGAGAGAATATTCAGGAGTCTGACAATTTGGAGAAAAAAGGTAAGCTTTTGGGTTATGAATGTGGTGTGAAATGGTTATAGCCCTGCATCTTAGGTATTAGTGAATTCACAGGATATTGGTACTTTTTCAGCATGAAGTGTTAATTAAGACTTCCATTTCTACAGAAGTTGCCAAAAGAATCCATGAAAATGGTTATAAAAGCATTTAAAAAAAAAAATAGACACTATCAATCTTTTAAAATTTTCCATTTTTTAATTGGTAGAAACAGTGAAGAGAGGAGAAGGCAGTGTCAGAAGAATTCTCATGTTTTAGATAAGGTTTTTCTTTTACATGATATGTGACATCATTGAAATTCTAACTTTACTATGAATAGAAATTTTACTTCATAAACAGACCTTAAATCCATTTATCAACACCATTCTAAATCTGGAAGAATAACAGCAAAATTCTGTGATAATTTCTTTTTATACAGGTTTTCTTTTTTGAAGAGAAAATTATAAGGCTTTTGTACCATTTTCTGTCTTTATCTCCTTGTTTGTATTTCTCCATTATTGTGTGGTTTATCAGGATGGGCTTACTATTGCTGTTGTTAATGTTAGGTGCTGTCAAGGTGGTTCCAGCTCATGACAACCTTACACACACAGAAACAAACAACACCCAATCCTGAGTCATCTTCATGATAATTGCCAGGCTTGAGCCAATTTTTGCAGCCACTATGTCAATCCATCTTTTTTGAAGGTCTTCCCCCTTTTTTGCTGAACCTCTGCTTTATCAAGCATGATATCCTTCTCCAAGGACTAGTCCATTCTGATAATATGACAGAAGTATGAGAGATGAAATTAGGTTATTTTCACTTTTAAGGAGCATCCTACTGTATTTCCTCCAAGACATAGTTGTTTGTTCTTCTAGCATGATAAATTCAATATTCTTTGCCAACATCACAACTCAAATGTATTGATTCTCTTGCTGTCTTCCTTATTCATTGTCCAACTCCCACATGCATATAAGTCTATTGAAAATACTATGCCTTGGGTCAGGCATTCCTTAGCCTTCCAAGTGACTTCTTTGCTCTTTAGCACTTTGAAGAGGTCTGTTGCAGTAGATATTCCCAACGTAATAGTTGTTTAATTTCTTGACTGCTGCTTCCATGGGAATTAATTGTGGATCTAAGTAAAATGAATCCTTGAAAACTTCATTTTTTTTCTCCATTTATCATCATGTTGCTTATTGGTCCACTTGTGAGGATTTCTGTATATATATATATATATATATATATATAGAGAGAGAGAGAGAGAGAGAGAGAGAGGCATCCCATTATATTCATCCTATCTTTTTCCTAGTAACCCACTTTACATTTTCAAATCAGAACTTCTCCAACACCCTGGATATCCTGAAGCCAAAGTCTTCTTTACTTCTTTACTTCTGTTGTATTTACTCTTTTACCCATCTTAGAGTCTATGTTATGTAGTAAAAAGTGTATATCACCTAATATCTTCCCTTACTTTCTCACTCACTCCTCAATCTACTTTGTTTTTTCCTTGAAAAACTCTAATGTTGGTTAATTTCAAATATGCTCCCACTTCTGCCCCATGTGAACAACTAAATAACGTCAATGAAAAATACATTCTCTCAACCTGTGTCCTGTCTCCTAATGACCTTTCCTCTTCCTTCACTCTGCACCTTTTCTTCTGTTACTAAAGTTTCCACTCTATCATATCTAGCTCACACTCACACCCCTCCTTCTGCATATTATTTACAAAATACTTGCTTGCTTTTATCAAAAGACACCGTGTTCATTTTGCTATGAATTCCAGTCCCTCTGTCTTTCTACATTTGCTAAAACACATTTCTTCCATAATTTTCTTCTTACTCTCCTGTGTCATTAATCTTTCTTATTTTATAGTTGAACATTCCTTCTTAGTGCACTGAAATATTCTACTTCTCCTAACTTAACAAAATATAGTCCTTGATTGTCTACTTATACCTCTCAATCTATTGTTTCATTTCTCTGTTCCCTTTCATAATCAAAAGTGTGGAAAGCATTACCTGTAGTCACTGACTTCCAGTTCCTCACCTCTCATCTTCTTCTCCCCTGACTGATTGAGGTCTGCCCTCATTATTCTGTGAACCATTGCTCTTTTCTAGGTAATTGGTGGCCTCTTTGAGTCATCCCAAGATCATATCTCTGTCTTTTTAATACTGGACTTCCCTGCAGCATTCACCAAGTTAAATAGTCCTTTAAGTACTTTCTTTGCATAGCCTCATGGACACACACCATCTGTTTTTCTGCTATCATTGTATCTGCCATCTCTCAGCCTCCTATTTTGAGTCTTCCCCTTGGATCAAACTCTGTATGTTGGAACACTCCAGGACTCTGTTCTGGGCTACCTTTCCTTGTGTCTCTCAATATACTTTTATAAGTTACTTCATTCAAGTCTTTGTCTTCAAACACAATGTTCTCAAATATCTCCTTATGGCCTTTCTTTGCATCTCCAGAGTAGAAAATTCAAGTATCTATTTGACATTTCCATAGAGATATCTACATTCATTTCCATTTACTAATGGCAAATGCAGAAATAGTAATTTCCCCCATACCTGCTCATTCTCCCCAATTATCTTTCTCTCATTAAATATATAAATAAAAAATCTACCAATGATCAAGTGCTTACTGTGTGCCAGAACTGTTCCCAGTGTATTGTACATTTTAAATCATTTAATTTCCAAAACTTTATCATCTTTCTCTTTATTCTAATGTAGAAACTGAGGAATAAAGTGGTGAAGTAACTCTTCCAAAGACTCACAAATCATGACACAGAACAAGGTTTCAAGCCCAAGTCTCTAGCTCTAGAGATTATCTTGTGCTTTTTATCACCATGTTATACTGCTGACAAAGATTTATATCTTTGTTGTTCACACTTTTCCATATAAAAAATAGTCCCCAAACAATTAATAAGTGTGTGCCATAACTTGTAACTACAAAAGGTATCGGGTTATCATATTCCTTAGGGTTAGTCAATCAGAACACTATCCTCTCTTACATGGTATATTGCAATAGCTTTTGTACTATTTTCCTTGATTTGCATATCGGGGCTCTAAAATCCATTCATCAAATAGAGCCACACATAGAGTCAGATCTTTCTTAACAATAAGTAAATAAATAAAATCAGCTACTTTTTCTCTTTGATTTAACACTTCTGGTGATTAAAAAAAAAAAAATCCAACCTTATTTCTCTGGCTAACAATGCCTACCTCTGTCTGTTGTCTCTCTCTCTCTGAACTCTTCTAATATCTTGCTTTGGCCACAATTCTTTAGTCAGTCTGGACTTTTAGTCTTTCCAAAAAGGGAAAACTTTTCCTCAAATTAGGGTCTTAGAGCTACATGTTATGGCTGTCTATGATATTCTTTTTACTGATTTTCCAAGCTGCTTCCCATTTGTCATAAGCTGTGAACTAGCCACTTTCCACCAGTCACTTCTCGGAAGGAAGGCTGGGCAATCTACTTCAGTAGTGATACTGCCTTGGAAACCCAAGGAGGGGTCACTATGAGTCGGGTCTGACTCCAGGGCATATAACAACAACAACAACAACAAGCCACTTTCTATATTATCTCTTGATTTCAAATCTCTGCATAGTATGTTGTTGTTGTTGTTGTTATGTGCCGTGGAGTCGGCCCCGACTCATAGCGACCCCTCCTTGGGTTTCTGAGGCAGTATCACTAGGGAAGTAGGATTGCCCAACCTTCCTTTGTATAGTGCACCTGAAGATTTTCTTACTTATTTATTTACCTGTCTATTGGCTTGTTTTCTCTCTTAACTAAAATGTAACTTCCACGAGAGCAGGAACTTCTGTGTTTTACCTACTCCTATATTGTTACAGGGAGCTCTGGTAGCATAGTGGCTAAGGCACTTGACTGCTAACCAGAAGGCTGGCAGTTCAAACCCACCAGCTGCTCCTTGGAAGGAAGATGGGGCAATCTACTTCCATAGTGATACTGCCTTGGAAACCCAAGGAGGGGTCACTATGAGTTGGGTCTGACTCGATGGCACATAACAACAACAACAACAATATTGTTAGAATAACCCCTAGAATAGTGTCCATGGTGTAAGAGTCCTAATAAGTAATTTTTGAATAGTTGAATTCATGAATAAATGGAAAAAAATAATTTAAATGAAAGACAGCCCTTAGAATCATCATCCAAACTTTAGACTAGACCTCAAAAGTAGCTTTTTCACTTCCACTTTCCAAAGTATAAAGAAATCTTCACATTTTATTTGAAATTCTCTCTGTATTTTACAATATTATTGTCCCATTAACTGGTTTGAAGGGTATATATAGACGCATAATAAGCATAATTATCATGTGATCATTGAATTATATTTTCTCAGACTTCATTGTTAAGTTTGTTGCTAAAAAGAAAGCAAGCAAAGAAGATAATGTTATTGAGTGAAGCGTGTCCCCATCCCCAAAAAATATGTACTGTCAATCCTAACTTCTATAATAATCCCATTTGAGAATTGGTTGATTTTTTCATGTTAATGAGGCAGGGAGGTATGCTTTTAGTCAATTTTTTACAAGATATAAAAGAGCAGATAAAGATAAGCAAGAAGCAGAGCTGAGGGAAGAGAGATGCCAAACCACAAGAAGATTGTCCAGGAGCAAAAGCTCAGAGACAAGGACATTCCACTGTTAAACTCTCAGGATGGTCTGGAGCATCCATACACAATGGGAATTGTTTTCTTTGTCACCCTACATTTGTTACTCAAAAGAAGACCCACATTTACCTGTTATAAAATAAAAAACAAACCAAACCCACTACCATCCAGTTGATTCTGACTCTTAGTGACTCCTGTTGGGTTTCAGAGGCAGCAAATCTTTAAGGAAATAGATTGCCTTGTCTTCCTTCCACAGAGTGTCTGGTGGGATTGAACCATGAAACTTTTGGTTAGCAGTCAAATGCCTTAGGCATTGTTCCACCAGAACTCCTTGATTTACCTGTTAGCTGATAGCTATTCAGTTTTTGCATATTTGTACCAATAAGATACAATGTACCCAGACTGGTTGTCTTTCTGCCCCTCTTTTTTTTTTTTTAATTCTGCTTTTGCATCTTGTTTCTTTAATCAGCCTACAAGTTTACTGCTTCTCCCATGAGAACTAGTTGCATTCACACTAAATTACTAACATTTTTAATGTACTCTGACTTGTTTTCCTAAAATATTTTTTAATACCTCTGTGTTTTTAACAAATCACATTTATTTTAGAAAAAATCAGTCCTGTTAAGATGTATACCATTTCCAGACATCTGTCAATTTTTCTTTCCACAGCACCCTCTGCTCCATCCCAGATATGGCGTCAAATGGCCTTAGCCCTCACTCTTCTATGTCTTCTACTGTTGATTGGATTGGGAATCTTAGGAAACATATGTATGTATTACATCTGCAACCAGAAAGCCACGAATTATACAAACAAAATTTTCTTTTTGTTTTGAGACCTTGGAATTCCTATAAGTGATATGTCCCAAATGGGCACTTAAAACATAGTCCTTAGAACATAGGATTTATTTTTTTTCCGTCATTCCTTCAGAGAATTGCTTCTCTACTTCTTTAATTTTCTCAATACAATTTCTGCAAAAGAGGAAGTGGTGGTTCTATTGAGGAATAAAAATATTTGATTAACCTCCCCCACCTTTTTTTTTTTTTTAATTTGATCTGAAGATTATAGAACCTCAAAGACAGAAATGGAAAAATTGAACAAGTTGCAAAATATCAAAGAAGATCTTCAGAGAAACATTTCTCTACAACACATGAGCATCATGAATATTTCCAAGGATCGCATGACTCTTGCCATCACACTGCAAAACATGGCCACTGAGTTATGTCGTGAGCTTATAAAAAGTGAAAAAGGTAGTCTTACATTCCTCTCTGAGTTAATAGACAATGAACTAAACCTTAGAGTCTGTTGTGAATCATTGCATCAATAGCTAGAGGGCTTTCCCAATGGATCTATTGTTTGAGCAAGGAAATTAAATATGATTGACAAAAGACTCATGGATATTACCACGCAGTTAGAAGAAAAACAGAAAAAGGAATAGTAACTCTATGTTCCCAAATAAACATTGGTGACTATTACTCAATAAAACATTAGACATTATGGGTGAGACCAATCCTATTATTTTAATAATATTCAGTTTCTCTAACTGGACGTCTGCTACTGTTATTCTGGGGCACTGAAGTCAGTAGTGGAGCCCTGGGGACCAGTGGTTAAGCAATTGGTAGCTAACCAATTGGTGCAAGTTCAAACCCATCAGCTACTCGGAGGGTGAAATGTGGCAGTCTGCTTCTGTAAAGATTTATAGACTGGGAAATCCCATGAAGCAGTTCTACCCTGTCCGATAGGCTCAATATGAATAGGACTCAACTCCAATGAAATGGGTTTACTTTGGAGGTCAATAAAAAATAGGGCTGAAAGGACATCAATTTACAGGTGACCTAGTTCCTAAATTTTAATTAGTGATTTATGAGAAAGATAATCAATAGTTAATAAATAAATGAAGTTAGAGATCACATTTGTCTTTGGGGAAGTTGACCTTATGAGCTACTTGAGCTCCTGAAATATCCAGAAAGTCCGAGAGCTAGAGCTGCTCTCATTGGAGAAGGCAGGGGGATGCAGGTATTTGGAGTTGATTCTCATCACACAGAATCCTTCTTGTGATTAGATTTTTTTTTTTTTTCTTTTTGCCAGAATGGGATACAAAAAAATGAAAAAAGGAGTTGGGAAAATTAATTTTTTTTTATTCTGAAAATGTTTCATTATTCTAAAGTGGAAAAGAAGAGCTAATAGACTGGAATCCACGTGCTTAACTTAAAATGTGTTGGTCAAGTTATGTGTTGTAACATTATGGTGATAAGTAACCAGTTGCTGTCGAGTTGATTCAACCTGTGGTGACACAATCTGTGAGAAAACAGAATTATTCTCTGTCGGATTTTTAATGGCTCATTTTTTGGATGTAGATCACTGGGCCTATTTTCCAAGGTTCTTCTGAGTCAACTTGAACCTCTAACCTCTCTGTTAGCAGCTAAGCACATTATCATTCTCACCAACCAATGGTTCCTTGATACAAGATAGGGATCCAGAGTATAGGGTTCATTTTCTTCTTTTTTGGTATGAAATGAAGGAATACATGCAAATTTGGGCAATTTAACATAGAAATGAGGGGGAATTATAAGAATGATGTAGAATAAAAATACATATGAACTATCACTATGTTCTTCTTCTAGAGCACAAATGTAAACCTTGCCCAGAGAAATGGATGTGGCATGAAAACACCTGTTATGGCTTATCTGATGATACAGAAACATGGCAAAACAGTGGAAGGATGTGTTCTGCTCAGAATGCCAGCCTATTGAAGATTAAGTCCAAAAGTGTTTTGGTAAGGTCCCATGGCTCTCTGCCTTTGAGAGAGGAAATCTCTTTTCATCAAAGAATAGCGCACAGTGGAACATTTGAGAGGAGAGATATATTATCCCAGACATAATTCTGCCTTATTTTGGTTAAGGCAAGAAGTAAGTTATCTTTGGTAATTATAGCCAAGAAAAGTCATATAAATCTTTAGTTTGGGACCTTGGGATCAACAAAGTCTTAGGAACACATGGGTAGGGGTAGATATAGAGCATCCAGAATGCTCAGGTGAGAAGATTTCCAAAATGAAACTCTGAATGAAATCTCAGAATATTGCTTCTGAACTTATATCAAAAAAGAGTGAATCTGGATAGTATTCCCTAGGGTTACTAATTCCATAAAATCTACACAACAGAAGATTCTTTGTCTTCACTATTTCAGGGTTTGTGTGTGTGTGTGTGTGTGTGTGTGTTTTAAATTAAGAGAAAAAGCCCAGGATATCAGTATGGTTTGCATAAAACATGTTATTTGCCACCGAGTTGGCTCTGACTCGTGGTGCTCTTGCGTATAACATAATGAAAGGGTCCTGGTCCTGCACCATCTTCATGATCACTGATACAACTGAGTCCATTCTTATGACTACTGTTTCAATTTGTTTCATTGTTTGTTTTCTTTATTTTCACTGAGCCCTTATTTACTAAACATGATCAAACTCAGAAGAAATGCATTCACAGTGCTCCTTAAAAATGGGAATGGCAAGACTTCAGTTTGCTTACTGTATACATATCATCAGGAACATCCAATCATTTGAGTAGGTCATAAAAATATTCACAAATAATACAATTGAGGTAAGATTAAAAAAAAAAATAAACACTGCCATAGTGTCGATTCCGACTCATAGCGACCCCCTTTGGGTTTCTGAGGCTGTAAATCTTTATGGAAGCAGATTGCCCAGTCTTCCTTCTACAAAATTGTTGGTGGGTTTGAACCACTGACCTTGTGATTAGCAGTCAAATGCCTTAGGCACTACACCACCAGACAAGATGGCAGAGTCAAATGCCAAGCATATGTATTGCACTGAGTCTTTGGGTCCCAGGAAAACTGAGTTATCTGGTAAAACAAAAACCAAACCAACTGCCATCAAGTCAATTCTGATTTATAGTGACCACCACTGAGTTTCTGAGGCAGTAAATCTTTAAGGAAATAGATAGCCTCATCTTTCTCATGCAGAGTGGCTGGTGGGTTTGAACACCAACTTTCTGGCTATCAGTCAAATGCCTTAGGCACTGTGCCACCAGAGCTCCTGAGTTCTCTGGTAGCTTTATTAATTTTTTATTTCATATTTTTCTTATATCTGGATAATCTCTCCAAACTTTACTTATTACTTTTTATAGTGTCTCAGAAAACACCTAGTCATTCTTTAAGCAAATGTACATTTTTCTAAGTCTTTGCTTCTATACTATGAGAATGTTTGCCAATCTTTATATAAGAGCAAGAAATTAATCTACCATCTCTTCCTCTCCTGATCATTCTCAAAAGACATATTCAAAGTGGCTTATTTATTTATTTTAAAAAGAAAGAATGGAATTAACAAAAAATGTTATTCAACTATAAAATTCCAGAATCATTCTGAATTTTATTATTACAACCACTCTCATCTCATCCTATTCTTTTTATTATCTCTACTAACTTATGTTTACCCTCATTAATTCCTTTGCCCTCAACCGGATAATTAGTATTCAAACATGTGAGTCTTGTAGTTTGTGATCTTTCATTGATCCTTACTTAATGTTAAGGAACCCTGATGGAGTAGTGGTTAAAAGTGCTTGGCTGTCAACTAAAAGGTCAGCAACTCAAACCCAGCAACTCCACAGGAGAAAAGTCCAGGCATTCTGCTGCAGTTTATGAAACAGTATGGAGGAGGTCTAGGCTGTCCTATAGGGTCACAACAATAAACTATACTTGGAATGGTAGATCCTTTTTTCAATTAATACAGTGCTTAACCTACAAATTATATTCTACAAAAGAAAATGTTAAGTAAGTAGTACTGAGAAGTAAACTGTAAAATTAATATTCAATATTATGTGCTGCCTTGATATTTTGCAGGGTTATAGTGAAGGGGAGACTCAAATGGCCTTACTACAAGTTCTCTCCTCACAGTCACAGATAATGTCCACTAGCCAAATGATTCTCCTTATCAAACACATCAAAGGCATTTTCTGAGTATACCTGAATAGAAGCTTTCAGTACCATGCAGCCTGTGGAATTATTCAAGAAAGCCAATCACACCCTCCCACAGGAACCGAGTGGAATCCACCCTCCTGACACTGTAGAGCCTGCCTCCCAAGACCCCTGCTTGTTCACTCTCTTCCCAAGTGCAAATCCCCTGTCACTATGAATGGCAGGCAGTGTCATTCTCTCCTGGGCTGTCAGTACATGTGACTAACAGTCTGTTGCCCCTGAAGTGTCAGTGCCAGGTGTCCTGTGTTTCTCCTTCCCAATACCCTAAGGACAGGAATCCTTCCCTCAGGAATGAGTGAATACAGACAATCAAAACAAGCACTTTCTTTAATGGCATTGAAAATAGTAGTGCAAGGTAAAAAATGTTACCTTGAAATAGTAATGTGTAAGATATTATGTCATGAAATAGTGTGCAGAAGTAGAGTTTAAAAAATTAAAAAAGTCATCTCTATTTCTTATAGAACTTTGTAAAATCCCAGCTACCATATTTAGAATATTGGGTGGGATTATCTCCCCAAAAGAAAGCATACTATAAGAACTTAGATGACAGCATTTTCTCTACAGACTGGTAAGTCTCATACTCTTATAGAATTTTTGTAGTTGGGTTGAGTAGAGGTACTTTCCTCTGGAGCATTGTAGATTCCAATTCAAAACAGTTTCAATTGAAATTGCATGATTAAAGACAGCATTTCTTCAGGTATCTCTGATGTGTTTAAAATTCAGTAAATTGTAACAAATGTTTCATCATTATTTTGATAAATGCTAACTATAGTAAGCACTTAAAGGGAATTTTGGTGAATGATGTTTTTGTTATCAAAAATTATAGAGATGAACAAAATTCACTGGACTCTAACACACACCAGAAATTGTGCTAAGTGATACAGTTGTAAACACAGTGAAAGACTGATTTTTCTCTTCAGTTACTTGGTTAACATTGGTAATTTATTATGTGCAGCATGTTCAGACTAATTATACAGTTATAGAGATAAAAAGAATTAATGTGAAAAATGCTTTAGTAAGATATATAGACTATCTGAAAACATTTTAACATTGATGTTTGTGTTTTAACTGATATTTGAAATTGGCAATTTTGAATGAAAAATGTAGACAATCTAGAACATTTCAAGTCGAGAGAATAAAGTGACTCTAGTGTGGTATTTGGCATTCATGGGATGTATAAAATATTATGTTGTATATTAAGGAACATGATTATGAATATACCATTATTAGTGGATTTTTATATTTTGTTTGTCAAGCTTCTAATGGGGGTGGGGGAAACTTCAAGGCCTTACCTAAAAATGTCACTAAAAGTTCATTTTATAACATTCAACTTTTGGGAAACAATATAGTCAGACTGAAGTAAAAATAAAACAGAGGTCCAAACTGCTGAGTACTGTTTGGAACCCAAGAGTTAAAACATATCTGTTAGTTGGGGACACATAAAGCAGAAGGGAATTCAGGGGACCTGTGTAGGGGTGCTGCCACACTAAATTTTAACACTCAGATTCCTGCATTCTCACAAGAGTGGGCCAGAAAGCAAAGTCAAATTTAGTGGTTTTGGTTTTTACTTCATATAGAAATAGTGGGGTTAATATTTGGGTCAGAATGATAAGCTGGCACTACCTTTAGTGGTTGGTAATGAGAAAATGGAATGATATTAAGATATGTAAATATGCAGGGAGGAAGGATATACAAAGGTATTATTTGGAGTGAAGAACTAGAGGTAAAGATAGGTCTAGACTAGAGGAGAGATGGGTCTTGTTTTGAGAAACTAAAATAGATGTGTGCTTATTTGTAATTATTGCAAATGGGAAGATACTTTTTATAGACTAGAGAACACAGAAGATAATTGAAATTGTTGTTGTTGTTATATGCCGTCAAGTGGGACCCGACTCATAGCGACACCTCCTTGGGTTTCTTAGGCAGTATCACTACGGAAGTAGGATTGCCCAACCTTCCTTCTGAGAAGTGGCTGGTGGGTACCGAAAAGTAATGATGAAATTAACAAAAAAACCAGTTGTCATCCAGTTGATTACAACTCATGGACACCTTGGCTGTGAAAACAGTTAATGAGCTTTACCACTACCCAAAAGCTTGCAGGTTTGACTCTGCACAGAGTTTTCTCAGTAGAGCAGCCTGATGCTTCCAAAAATTTAATCATTGTAACTATGAAGCTGACACATGTGGGTCAATATGAGTTGGAACTGATTGAGGGAAAAATTTTGCTCTTAAATAATGAGTTAGGAAGATGGATGAAGAACAAAAAATAGAAAAAGAAAACTGAAGAAAGCTAAACATGGTAAACATGGAGTATGATGAAAGAATATGTATAGATATGTGTATGTGTATAGATAAGTATATATATGTGTGCATAAATATATAGCTCTCTTGGTGACCCAAATGGTTAAATGTTCAACTACTAGATGAAAGTTTGTCTATTTGAACTCACTCAATGGCACCTCAGCAGACAGGATTGGAGATCTGCTTCCTAAAAGTCATAGTCTGGAAAACCCTATGGAATAGTTCTAGTCTGTACACATGGGGGTGTTATCAGTCAGAAGTAACTTGATGGTAACTAACCAGAACAGTAAACAAATACACATATATATGTACATACACACTTTATTGACCATAGAATAGTGTAAATATAACTTCTAAATGCACTAAGACACCAAAAAGTTTGACTCCTTTTATTGTGACAATCACTTTATTGTAATGGTGAAGAACCAAATCCATAAAATATGTGAAGTGTATATAAAGATATGGGAGCTCTGGTAGCATGGTGCCTAAGGCACGTGACTGCTAACCAGAAGGCTGGCGGTTCAAACCCACCAGCCACTCCTCGGAAGGAAGATGGGGCAATCTACTTCCATAGTGATACTGCCTTGGAAACCCAAGGAGGGGTCGCTATGAGTCGGGTCTGACTCGATGGCACACAACAACAACAACAACAACAACAATACAAAGATATACACCTATCTACCCAGAGATATTCCCACTTTTCTGCTAATATATATGTATTTATTACCATAATCTTACAATTCCTTTGATCTATAAGCTATTTCTTTCTAGATCATCTTATACCTGACCCCATGAAGCATTGTGAGATTTGACCCTAGTAATCTGCCTAGTAGCAATTAGTAGTGATTGTTCTGGGTCTGGTAAGGAATCCATTCCTGGTGATGTTAATAGACATTTCAAGCAAAGGAAGGCCAGTCTGCTGAGACACAGTAGCTCAAGCTATTTCCACTGGAAAGGGGAATTTAGAGTGACTTGGACTTTTAAGATGGTCATTTTCATCTAAACTCAGCCCATTTCAAGTTCATAATCACATTATTTCCAATAAATGCCCTATCACATGAAAAACTTGGCAAGACAATGACTTCAATTGACATTATAATTAAGCAACCCACACTGTTACATTTTTCATTTGATTATCATGAATAAAAACTTGCTTGCAAGCTTTTTAGGACAACCTTGGAAATTCACTAATTTTTAGGCCATGACTTAAGTGAAGTAAAATCTTGAGCTTGTCATTGTCTTTCTGTAATCATTCCCATACCATAGTCCATATAGTCTTCATTTCTACCTTAAGAATTAAGTGCAGCATGACTTGGGCTCTTTGGGCATGTGCTTCACTTGGTACTTCATTACAGTTAACAGGAGCCCATACCTTGATTAATGGTGATGCCTATATGTGTCATGGATCATTAGCATCTCATTTCCCATTGACAAAGAGCTCAGCACTGTGCTGAAGCTAAAGACATGAGCAAACTAATCACAAAATCACTTGTTGAGGTGTTTGCCTCCACAGGCCACTTGTGTAGCACTTGTATCACTCAAGGTTAATTTAGGAAATGAAACAACCACCAGCAATTTGAACAGAGTAAATTTAATATAAAGCATGACTAACTGTAAAATGAAATTAAGTAAGAGTGGCATTGAAATAACAAAAGGAGGGAGCAGCTACTGCCTCTAGAGCTGAAATCCATGAGAGATGAAGGTCCAGGACCAGTTCCCAAAAAAGTAGTTGGAATTCAGGAGACAGCCCCACCCAAGACTGAATTTATGACTTTATTGGAAATAACAGGTTTGGGGCCTACCAGAGGGCAGAGAAGATCTCAGACTTGCCAGAGGCTGACTAACAGGAAACCTCCTGCTTAGGTGCTGCTGAAACTGTTCACGAATCTATCCACTGGAACGTTTGCAAAAGTCATTTTTAAGGGCTCTGGTGGGTTGCTAGTGAAACTCATTGGGAAATCACCGGCTGCAGTTTTGGATTAGTTTGCTGGGAAGTCACTCATTAGATTCCAACCACACTGGTGAAGCCCTTCAACTCAGCGGATGCCCCCTGGAGTTTTAGCAAAATTCACAGGGCAGCTGTCTAAGGAAGTGTGGACAAACTTTTCAGGAGAGTGTGTGGCACTGTGTCTCCCACATACTGCTCACAAATCATTTACTTGGAAGTCACCCTGTCATAGGGGCAAAGAAGTGTCAAAACCAGGAGTTCCCTTCTTTTTGCAGTATCCCTGAAACTCCCTATAATAACAAAGGATAAGGAGAAATATTTACAGAATCCTCCTCTAGGGTCATCGGGGTAAGAAACTGGGTGAATTTGGAACTGAAGAGCAACCAACTGATAACTAGCATATGATGTACTTAATTATTAAAATTCCTAAATATATTTAAATTTTCCTTATGTGTTTTTCATTAAATTTGAGTTACTTAAAATGTATATGTTTTGCATTCAAGTATATGGGGAATTTTCACATCTCTCTGTTCCATTATTCTCAAAATAAATTAGCTTTTAGTTTTAGATTATTGTCTGAAAAGTACATATTATTTTATATCTTTTGAGAATTAAAGTTTTGCCCAGTGCATTTATAAAAAAAAAATTGTAAAATTTTTGTTGTGATTTGGGTGAAAGTTTACAGAGCAAATTCATTTTCCATACAACAGCTCACACACACTTTGTCTCATAACATTGATTACAATCTCCTACAGTGCAACAGCTCTATAAGAGCTTCCTCCCCATAGCCACTTCCTCCCCATAGCCACCTCCCTGTGTCCTTCCCTCCCATGCACTCCTGCCCCTCCCTGAGCTGTCTCCCTGTGCATACACAGCCCTTCTATTCTCCCATGATCTCTCCAAGGAGTGTATCAACCAAATGTAAATGTTCAGCTCATATGCCTGTCTTTTGTTTGGCTGGAAGTCACAGGAGTGGGTTCAATTCCCGACCCAAAGGGCAGCTAGGGTCCATAGTTTCAGAGGTTCCACCAGGCTGTATCAGACCAGCAAACTGGTCCCTGTTTTTTTTTTTTTAATGATTTCAAGTTTTGTTCCACATTATTTCTCCATTCTATCCAGGATCTCCTACATAGATCCCCCTCTGAATGATTGACAGTGTAGCTGGACACCACCTGGCTCTTCTGGTCTTGTAGTCAGATAGGCTGAGGATTGCATGGTGTACCAGTCCTTGGACTAATTGTTTCCATGCCTCTTTGGTTTTCTTCATTTTTCTTTGCTCTGGACCAGGAGAGACCCATTATTGCATCTAAGAGGCCACTTGCAAGCTTTTAAGATCCCAGTTGCTACTCACCACAGTAGGATGTGGAACGATGTTTTTGTGTAGTATGGTATGCCAATTGAGCATGATGTCCCCTGAGACCATGGTCCTGAGCCCACAGGTCCAACTACCATTTAGAAAATATTTAAGTATCTTGGTTGCCTGTGTAAATGTGTACTCTTTAATACTAAATGCAAAATTTGTATAAGTTGATTAGATCAATCTTATTAATTATGTAGTTTAAATCTTTTTTCTTTCCTGCTTGATCACTGTCCTGAAAATATATTGAAATCTTATTAAGTGTGTACACATTTATCTTTATTTACATTTTCTTTTCTTTGGTTCTTTTTCTTTTAATATTTATTTTCTTTGATGTTCATTTTAGTTAGACATATCTTTTGAGCTCATATTGGAAGTGTGAATTGCCTAAGTATTTTTTCATTGAACATAATGACTCTGCTCAAAAATAGCAAAACATCTCCCTAGCACTCCATGAATCACAATATATGCCATATCTGTTATTTTGTTTGTGTTTTGGGGGGGATGAACTAGACTTCATTTCTCTTCAGCTAATAAGGATACTAGCAGTATGGCTGTTGGCCATGCATAATTTTTTCTTTTTTCTCCATATTACTACATGGCTAGTTGAGATAATGTAAAATAGTCTTCATTTTCCTCACAAAGCACCTAATCTCAAGCAGGTCTACAGGATTCTCTGAATGCAGTCCACTGATCGCAGCCCAGCTGTATCAAAGAAAGTGATCTTTGTTTACTTCCCAGAGTATGCTATCTTCTTGGATAAAATTTGTACTCAGATCTATCTATGGTCTCTTCACAAAGCCATCCTGCCTTTACATCTCCCCTTCACTTGGTCCAATTTTCACAGCACTTGTGATGTGTTCCTGGGTTATAAGTATTTCTGTATATGACATATAATGTATTATTCTCAATGTTATTATTGGACTTTTTTCTGGAAGGGGTTGGTGATCAGTGGTACTATGTCACCAAAAATAGGAAATCTCCCTCTTGAAAATTTCATTGAGGAACTTATTAATGTCTTGATTGTTTTTTATTAACACAAATATTGATGTTACATTTTCAATTTACAAGTTTGTCTTTAATGCATAGTTCCTGATCACTAATATAGTATTACCAATAACCAGCTCTCATCAAATTGATTCTGACTCATGGATCTTGAACATATCCCTCCTGAATTTAGAGATCATCTAAAGAATAGATTTGATGCATTGAACACCAATGACCGAAAGCCAGATGAATTATGGGAAGATATCAAGAACATTATCCATGAAGAAAGCAAGAGATCACTAAAAAGACAAGAAAAGAAGAGAAGACCAAAGTGGATGACAGAAGAGACTCTGAACCTTGCCCTTGAGTGGAGAATCGCTAAAGCAAATGGAAGAAATGAAAAGGTAAAAAAGCTGAACAGAAGATTTCAAAGAGCAGCTCGAGTAGACAAAGCCAGTTACTATAATGAAATGTGCAAAGACCTGGAGTCTGAAAGCCAAAAAGGAAGAACACACTCAGCATTTCTCAAACTGAAAGAACTGAAGAAAAAATTGAAGCCTCAAGTTGCAATATTGAGAGATTCTATGGGCAAAATATTGAATGATGCAGGAAACATCAAGAGAAGATGGCAGGAATACACAGAGTCACTGTACCAAAAAGAACTGATCGATCTTCATCCATTTCAGGAAGTGGCATATGATCTAGAACCAATGGTAATGAAGGAAGAAGTCAAAGCTGCAATGAAAGAACTGGCAAAGAACAAGGCTCCGGGAATTGATGGCATACCAATTGAGATATTTCAACAAACAGATGTCCCATTGGAGGCACTCACTCAGTTATGCCAAGAGATTTGGAGGACAGCTAACTGGCCAATTGACTGGAAGAGATCCATATTTGTGCCCATTCCAAAGAAAGGTGATCCCACAGAATGCAGAAATTACAGAAAATATCATTAATATCACATGCAAGTAAGATCTTACTGAAGATAATTCAGAAACGTTTGCAGCAGTATATTGACAGAGAACTTCCAGAAGTTCAAGCCGGATTCAGAAGAGGACTTGGAACAAGATATCATAGCTGTTGTCAGATGGATCTTGGCTCAAGGCAGGGAATACCAGAAATATGTTTACTTTGTTTTATTGACTATGCAAAGGCATTTGATTGTGTGGATCATGACAAATTATGGATAACATTGAGAAGAATGGGAATCCCCGAGCACTTGATTGTACTCATGAGGAATCTGTACCTTGACCAGGAGGCTGTCATTCGAACAGAACAAGGGGACACTACATGGTTTAAAATCAAGAAGGGAGTGCGTCAGGGTTGTATTCTTTCTCCACACTTATTCAATCTATATGCTGAGCAAATAATCCGAGAAGCTGGACTATATGAAGAAAAACATGGTATCAGGATTGGAGGAAGAATCATTAACAACCTGAGATATGCAGACGATACAACTTTGCTTGCTGAAAGTGAGGATGACTTAAGGCACCTACTGATGAAGGTTGAAGAATAGTCTGCAGTATGGATTACATCTCAACATAAAGAAAACAAAAATCCTCACAACTGGACCAATGAGCAGCATCACAATAAATGGAGAGAAGTTTGAGGTTGTCAAAGAATTCACGTTGCTTGGTTCTACAATCGATGCCAACGGAAGCAGCAGTCAGGACATTAGACGTCATGTAACATTGGGAAAGTCAACTGCGAAGGAACTGTTTCAAGTGCTGACTAGCAAGGATGTCTCCTTGAGGACTAAGGTGCGCCTGACACAAGCCATGATATTTCCAATCGCCTGGTATGCATGTGAGAGCTGGACAATGAATAAGGAAGACCGAAGAAGAGTTGATGCTTTTGAGTTGTGGTGCTGGAGAAGAATGCTGAAAGTACCATGGACTGCTAAAAGAACTAACAGATCTGTCCTGGAGGAAGTGCAGCCAGAATGCTCCTTGGAAGCAAGAATGGCCAGACTTCATCTCACCTATTTTGGTCATGTTGTAAGAAGGGACCATTCCCTGGAGAAGGATGTCATGCTTGGTAGGGTGGAGGGTCGATGAAAGAGGGGGAGGCCTTCAAGGAGATGGATTGATATGGTGGCTGCGATGATGGGCTCAAGTATAGCAGGGATTGTGGGGCTGGCGCGGGATTGGGCAGTGTTTCATTCTGCTGTGCATGGGGTCGCTATGAGTCGGAAACGACTTGACGGCACTTAACAACAACATGGAAACCTTTAGTTTAGTATAAACGTGCTCAATAGGATTTTCTACGGCTCATTTTCTGGCCATAGATCACCAGACCTTTCTTTTAAGGAGCCTCTGTGTGGGTTTGAACCACTAGCCTTTAGGTTAGTCACCAACCATTTAACCATTTGCAACTGTTATTTAAAATTCAGAGTAAAATCTCTGAGAATGACTGGAAGGAAATATCACTTGGAGATCTTAGGCAATAGTACTATTCTAAATCACATTAGATTAGGGGATGTTGTTGTTGTTGTTATGTGCCATGGAGTCACTCCGACTCACAGTGACCCTTCCTTAGGTTGCTGAGGCAGTATCACTATGGAAGTAGATTGCCCCATCTTCCTTCTGAGGAGTGGTTGGTGGCTTTGAACTGCCAGCCTTCTGGTTAGCAGTCAAGTGCCTTAGGCACTACACTACCAGAGCTCCCAGATTAGGGGATAGGTAAATTAATTCTGGAAAGAAGGAACAGGAATTAATGCAGACATGAGAATGTGGAGAAAACCAAAGAAATAAGGCAGTGTTTGACATTACATATTCATTGATTGAAACAAGTAGCTTGGACATCCTTGATACTCTGTATATTAATTCAAATTTGCTGTAGAATTCAGATATAAGGAGAAATGATGTCATATAGGAGAAATAAGTTGTGACTGTGTTTCAAATGTCTTTTGCCAAGTATAATTCTTTATTTTCTCTTTCAGGTATACAGGAAACACAGAACACTTAAATGATGGGATGTATTGTGGATATATACTCCAAACATATGTTTATTATAGGTACTGTACTGAAAAAAGACGATTCGTGTGTGAGAAATTAGCTAATTCAGTGAAGATTGAAAGTACATTAATGGTTAAAGTTCCACAAGGAAGAAGATAGTTAGGGCAATTATTTTTATAGCCTACAGTTGAAGGCAAATTTAGAGAATAGTTATCTCTTGGGACACAGAAATGGAACAAAGATGTTGTAAGACTAAATTTCTGTCTTTTTCTTAATATTTACTTCTTCAAACATTCTTTTTTCTCTTCATTTGCTGAGTGAGATGAACCTCAGTTTGTACCTTATGCTGCAGGCATATGACACTGACTGTTTCAGCTGCTTTTCCTAAAAGAAACAAGATAAATACCAACCTTTTTGAAAATCAAAGAAAATTAAATCCGGGAATATATGTGTGTGTGTATTTATTTATCTGTGTGTGTGTGTGTGTATGTATATAAAAGAAAATAAGAAGATACTAGGATGAACTGGGTACATAGAGATACCACATTGATTTAATATTTTGATCAGGATAAAGAGTGGAAAAGAGAAAAGAAAAGACATGAACATTTCAGGAGATGTCAAAGCACGGATGAAATTCAACACCCAATCATAATAAAACTTCTCAGTAAACTAGAATCAGAAGATTAATCTAATGAAGTATATTGATCTAAAAACAAACAAACAAAAACAGGAAGACTCAAGAACAACTAAAACAAGAATAAAAACAACAAGACTCTTAATGGGAACATCATACAACTGATAAAACAGCTGAAGTTTTTTCTCAACTGAATCAGAGATTTCTGTTGCTTGGACACATGGACCCAAACAATGACTGCTTTGCTAAAATTGATAGACAGACTTGGAAATCAGTAGGATGTTGTTGTAAAATTTATTAAACACCAAACAATAGAATCCATATCAATTAATGCAGAAAAAGTATTTGATAATATTTAACACGGATTTGGAAGGAAGATGAGGCAATCTACTTCCGTAGTGATACTGCCTCAGAAACCCAAGGAGGGGTCGCTATGAGTTGGTTCTGACTCGACGGCACATAACAACAACAACATGGATTCATGATAAAAACTCTCAGAAACCTGGAAATAGAGAATGTTTGCTAAAGGATTAACCTTCTTCAAAGAAAGTTTTGACCCTTTGTTCTAGTCTCTTGGGAGATAAACTCGAAGCCCTAGGATTCCTCTGCCTGATAGTTCTAACATCACAGCACATATAATTTCTTATACCAGTATGATGCTTGCTTGGGGCTTTAAGCCACACAATATCAACCTGGCCTCAAGAGAGGCTGGAGAATACCTTTAGTCACAAGGGTGGTCTACCATGTTCTTGTGGCCAGTCCCCAATAAAACTCTGGGCATGAAAATTCTGGTGACCTTCCCTGGTGGTAATATCCCATGCATATCATCACATGTAGTTATTGGGAAATATAAATGCTCCCTGCACAACTCCACCGGGAGAAGAAAACTGGAAGCTCTGCATATGGCCTCTCATGAATCATGAGCTATGAACATCTTCCCTTTGCTATTTTAAATCTGTATCCTATTGCTGAAATAAACCATAACCGGGAGTATATAAGTTTTTCTGAGTTCTGTGAGGCCTTGCATATTTTTTGACTAAAAATTAGTCAAGAACTTGACTTCCTGGCACCTCCAACTTGATATAGAACATCTATGAAAGACCTATGTTATGTGCCATCGAGTCAGCCCCGACTCACAGTGACCCCTCCTTGGATTTCCGAGGCAGAATCACTACCGAAGTAGATTGCCCAACCTTCCTTCTGAGGAGTGGCTGGTGGGTTTGAACCACCGGCCATCTGGTTAGCAGTCAAATGCCTTAGGCACTATGCTACCAGAGCTCCTATGAAAGATCTATAGTTAACAGTATATATTATTGTTCTACTTAGATGCCATCAAGTCGGTTCCTATTCATAAAGATCCAATGTACAACAGAATAAAGCACTGCCCAATCCTGCACCGTACACATGATGGCTGCTATACTTGAGAACATCATGGTACCCATATGTCCGTCCATCTCGTTGAGTGTCTTCCCCTTTTTTGCTGACCCTGTACTTTATACTAAGTATGATACCCAACTCTTGGAACTGGTTCCTTCTAATCGTGTGACAACAGACAAAACACAGTGTCTGGCAATTCTCACTTCCAAGGAGCATTCTGGTTGTACCTCTTCCAAGACAGATTTGCTCATTCTCTGGCAGTCCATGGTATTTTCAATATTCTTTGCTAATACTACAATTCAGTGTCAATTCTTCTTCAGTCTTCCTTATGCATTGTACAACTTTTATGTGCCTGTGCAGCTATTGAAAATACCATGGCTTGGTTCAGGTGCACCTTAGCCTTCAAAGTGATATTTTTTTGTTCTTTTATTCTTTACCAAGGTTTTTTGCAGAAGATTTGACCAGTGCAATAGCTCGTTTGTTTTCTTGGCTGCTGGTTCAGTAGATGTTGATTGTGGAACCAAGTAAAATGAAATTCTTTACAACTTCAACTTTTTCTCCATTTTTCAAGATTTTGCTTATTGATCCAGTTGTGAGCATTTGAGTGCCTTTTTTTTTAATGTTGAAGTATAAACCAGAGTGAAAACTATAATCTTTAATCTTTACCAGTAAGTACTTCAAGTCTTCTTCACTTTCAGTAAGCAAGATTGTATCATCTACATATCTCAGGTTGTTAATGAATCTTCCTTCAATCTTGATGTCATGTTCTTCTTCATATAGTCTGTCTTCTCAGATTATTTGCTCAGCATGCAGATTGAATAAGTATGGTGAAAGGATATGAACCTGATGTATGTCTTTTCTGATTTTAATCAATGTGGTGTACTTTTGTTCTATTCAAATGACTGCCTGTGTCAATCTATCTCATTGATAGTCTTCCCTTTCTTCACTGACTCTTTACCAAGCATGATATCCTTCTCCTGAGAATTGTCCCTTCTGACAACATGACCAAGGTAGATAGGATGAAGTCTGGCCATTCTCACTTCTAAGGAGCAGCTGTACGTGGTCCAGCTGTATTTTTTCCAGGATAGATATGTTCATTCTTCTGGCAGTCTGTAGTATTTTCAGTATCCTTTGACAACACCACCATTCAAAGGCATTAATTCTTCTGAGGTCTTCCTTCTTCATTGCTTAGCTTTCACATGCATATGAGGTGATTGAAAATACCATGGCTCCAGTTAGGAACAGCTTATTCATCAAAATGACATCTTTGCTCTTAAATACGTTCAAGAGTTCTTTTGCAGCAGTGCAATAAGACTTCTGATTTTTTGACTGCTCCTTCCGTGGGTGTTGATTGTGGATCCAAGTAAAATAAAATCTTTGACAACTTCAATTTTTTCTTTTTTGTCATGATATTGCTTATTGTTCCAGTTGTGAGGATTTTGACTGTACTAAAATGTATAGTGTTTGGTCTCCACCAGTATTTCAAGTCATCTTCACTTTCAGCTAGCAAGGTTGTGTCATCTGCATGTCTCAGATTGTTTATGAGTCTTCCTCCAGTCCTAATACCATGTTCTTCTTCATATAGTCAAGTTTCTCAGATTATTTGCTCAGCATAAAGATTGATAAGTATGGTGAAAGAATACAACCATGAGGCACATCTTCCCTAATTTTAAACCATGCAATATCCCTTGCTACATTTGAATGACCTCCTCTTGGTATATGTACAAGTTCCTCATGAGCACAATTAAGTATTCTGGAATTCGCTTTCCAATGTTATCCATAATTTATTATGATCCACACAGTAAAATGCCTTTGCATAGCCAATAAAACACAGGTAAACATCTTTCTGGTAGTCTTCTTTCAGCCAAGATCCATCTGACATTATCAATGATATCCCTCTTTCCATGTCCTCTTCTGAATCCAGCTTGAATTTATGGAAGTTCCTTATAACTATACTGCTGCAATCATTTCTTAATTATCTTCAGCAAAATTTTACTTGAATATGATGTTAACCATATTGCTTGATAGTTTCCACATTATGTTGGATCATCTTTCTTGGGGATGTGCACAAATACAGATTTCTTCCAGTCTATTGGCTAGGTACCTGTCTTCAAAATTGCTTGGCATAAACAAGTAAGTTCCTCCAGTGCTGCATCCGTTTGTTGAAATATCTCAATGGATATTATGTCAATTCCTGAAGCCTAGTTTCCCACCAATTCCTTTAGTGTAGGTTGGGTTCTTCCTTCAGTTCCATTGGTTCTCAATAATATTGTATCTCCTGAAGTGTCTGAATGTTTGTCTTTTGTTTTGGGTACTGTGTACTCCTTCCATCTTCTTTTGATGTGTCCTGCACTATTCAATATTTTGCTTATATAATCCTTTAATACTGCAATTTGAGGGTTGATTTTTTTTTTTCCTTCAGTTCTTTCAGCTTGAGAAGTGTAGAGCATGTTCTTTCATTTTGTTTTGTAATTCTTGGTCTTTGCATATTTCATTTTAATACTTTACTCTGTCTTCTCAAGCCACCCTTTGAAATCTTCTGTTCAGCTCATTTATTTCACCATTTCTTCCATTGACTTTGTTCAAGAGCAAGTTTCATAGTGTCTTCTGACATCCATGTTGGTTGTTTTTTTTTTTTCCATCCCTGTTTTTTAAATGAACGTTTGCTTTCTTCATGTATGATGTTCTTGATATCATCCCCAAACTCATCTGGTCTTAAGTTATAGGTGTTCAATGCATCAAATCTATTCTTCTGATGCATCTCTAACTTCAGGGAGGATGTAACTATGGTCTTATTTGGCTAAAGTGGACTTATTTTAATTTTCTTCAGCTTCAATTTGAACTTGCATATGCACAATTGATGGTCTGTTCACACTCAGCTTCTGGCCTTATATTGACGGAAGACAATTAAGCTTCTCCATCACCTCTTTCCACAGATATAGTCAATTTGATTCCTGTGTATTCCATCTCATGAGGTCTATGTGTATAGTTGCCGTTTATGTTGTTGAAAAAAGGTATTTGCAATGAATAAGTCATCAGACTTCCAAAATTCTATCATGTGATCTCCAGCCTCATTTCTAGCATGAAGGCCATATTTTTCAAATAACATTGATCCTTTTTTATTCCCAACTTATGCATTCCAATCAAAAGAATTATCAATGTATTCTGGTTACATGCTTGGTTAATTTCAGCCTGCAGAAGTTGATATAAAAATTTTCAGTTTCTTTATCTTTGTCTTTAGTGGTTAGTATGTAAATTTGAGTAATAATATTATTAACTGATCTTCCCCATAGGTGTATGGATATTACCCTACCACTGAGAGCATAGTACTTCCGGATAGATTTTGAAATATTTTTTTGATGATGAATGATATACCATTCCTCTTAAATATGTCATTCCTGGCATAGTATACTATACGAGTGTCTCAAAATGGCCAATAACCATCCATTTCAGCTCACTGATGCCTAGGATAATGATCTTTATGCTCTCCATTTAATTTTTGTCGACTTCCAATTTTCCTAGATTTATACTTTGTTCAATTCACATTCTGATTATTAATGAATAACAAGCAGCTGTGTTCTTCCAATTTTGAGTCATCCACCTTCAGCAAATGAAAATCCAGAAAGCTTTACTCCAACCACATCGTTAAATTCAACTCTTATTTGAGGAAGCGGCTCTTTCCCAGTTGTATTTTGAGTGCCTTCCAACCTGAGGGGCTCATCTTTCAGCACTATATCAGACAATTTTCACTGATGTCCATAAAGTTTTCCAGTCATATACTTACTGGAAAATTTTAATACAGATGGTGTTTCACTACTATTAATAAGGTTTTTGGTCGTCAATTTTTGCAGAAATGGATGGCCTCATCCTTTTTCCCTGTCTGTCTTAGTCTGGAAGCTTCTCTGAAATCTGTCCACTATGGGTGACCCTCCTGGTGTTTCAAAGACCCATGGCATAGCTTCTAGTCTCACAGCAATACTCAGATAACCACAGAACCACAAAATGACAGACAAATGCTAGAGATCTCAGAACCCTTTTGTTGGAAATAAATGCTTTTATGGGCGGTCACAATATACAATAAAGCAGTTATTTTTCATTGAGTTTTATTAAAATCTATACACATTCTCTTTGTGGAAAAAAAAAATTGTGCCTCTCTGTTTTAAATTACTTACATGAAGCAATACCAAGAATAATTTCAGATTAAAATCTCTGGTAGAGTAATGCCTAAGGCACTTGACTGCTAACCAGAAGACTGGCAGTTCGAACCCACAAGCCAATCCTCAGAAGGAAGGTTGGGCAATCTGCTCCCATAGTGATACCACCTCAGTAACCCAAGGAGGGGTCGCTATGATTCAGGTCCGACTCGATGGCACATAACAACAACAACAACAACAGTAACTTACCCTGTCCCTCCTTTGATTATTAAATCACTTTGACTGCTAACCAGAAGGCTGGTGGTTCAAACCCACCAGCCACTCCTTGGAAGGAAGGTTGGGTAATCTACTTCCATAGTGATACCACCTCGGAAACTGAAAGAAGGGTCACTATGAGTTGGATCTGACTTGACAGCAAAACACAACAACAACACAACAACCCTTAAGAATGCTGAGTCCAACTGATGAGGCAAAAATTGCACAATCTTGGTTGCTCATCCCCTTCCTTTTTTTGTAGCTTAGCTAAGAACTGGCTCCAGTCAATCCTCAGAGAGAAACCAAATCTAATTTCAGATTTCCTGGCATGCAAAATTGTTTCTAGGGTCTTGGATGAGCCTTTCAATCATTAGTATACATACTCCCTGATATGGTTTCTGAGCCCCAGCTCCCTTAATGCATGTATTGCTTAGAGAAACTAGACATTTCCTAGCTCCTACTAGACTAACCTCTGACTTTGTAATAGGGTGAGGGTGTGGAGCTTGCTCTCTTCTTTCTTGCAGTGCTTTCTGTACTTGTTCAGCTTCCAGGCTAAGGCAGCCCTTTTCAGCAGGAACTTTTGCAGGGTACATACAAAACATCTATGCCAGCCCACTGCTAAGTCATGAACAGCTTCTTCAAAGACTGCATCCTTTTTAACTTCTCTATTGTAGTTTTTCTCCCCAACTCCTGTGTTATAAATGTACCATGTGGTACCAATGATTTTTGTCCATGACCCCCTTGATAATATTACCCAAACACAATTTTGAAGAGTGCTTTCTGTGGTTGATGCAGTTGTTAGTTGCCAAAAAGTCAGTTCTGAAAACGGAAACAACAGGAGGAAGAAGGCTGTTCCCTGTAGCCACATTTTTAACAGTTCATCTGCTCTTGACTTAAATTTTTTAGTGCTCCAGTACTTGGCTTGAGGGTCTTTGTCTATTCTCTGCTTACACCTCTCTAAGCTGTAGGTTGGTTATAGTTCATTTGCGAATATGAGAGTGATTTACACAAGGGATCTACATGTAGAAATTTAAACATGTAGACATAAAAATAGAAGACCTTGCTAAACATTCTATTCCGTTTGGACACTCTCCTCTTTTACTTTTATTTATTTATTTATTCATTTATTTATTTTTCCAGTCTGTGGAGTTTACCTTGTCGATCCATCAATGTCTGAAGAAGTTACATATGCAGATCTAAACTTCCAGTACTCCAGTAAGACAAAGAATATTCAGGAGTCTGACAATTTGGAGAAAAAAGGTAAGATTTTGGGTTATGGATGTGGTATAAAATGGTAGAAGTCGTTACAGTCCAGCTTCTTAGGTATCAGTGAATTCATAATGATAATTGGTATTTTTTCAGCATGAATTGTTAAATAAGGCTCTCATTTTTACAGAAGTTGCCAAAAGGATTCATTAAGAAATAAATAAATAAAACAGAAGCTAAACATTTTTCCATTTTTAATTAGTAGAAACAGTGAAGGGAGGAGAAGGCAGTGTCAGAAGAATTCTCCTATTTTATTTAAGTTATATTTTTTACATGATATATTATATTACATCTTTGAAATTCTAACTTTACTATGAACAGAGATTTTATTTCATAAATAGTTAGAACTTAAATCCATTTAGCATCACCATTCTAAATTTGGAGGAAGAATAAGAGAAACTCTGTGAGATTTTCTTTTTATATACAAACAACACAAAAGGAGCTCTGATGGCATAGTGCCTAAGGCATTTGACTGCTAACCAGAAGGCTGGCGGTTCAAACTCACCAGCCACTCCTCGGAAGGAAGGTTGGGCAATCTGCTTCCGTAGTGACACCGCTGTGGTAACTCAAGGAAAGGTGACTATGAGTCAGATCCAACTCCATGGCAGTGAGTTTGTTTTTTTTGGGTTTTGTACTTTATCAAGCATGATATCCTTCTCCAAGGACTGGTCCTGTCTGACAACATGACAAAATTATGAGAGAGAAAGTTTGGCCATTCTTGCTTTAAAGAACCATTCAGCTGTACTTCCCCCAAGACAGATTTTTTTCCTTCTTCTAAGCAGTTCATGGTCAATCCAATATTCTTTGGGAACATCATAACTCAAATGCATCAATTCTTCTGTTGTCTTCCTTATTCATTGTTCAGCTTCCACATGCATATTAGTCTACTGGAAATATGATGGCTTGAGTCAGGCACACCTTAGTCTTCCAAGTTACATTTTTCCTCTTTAATACTTTAAAGAGGTTTTTTTTTTTTTTTTTTGCAGTAGATATTCCCAGTGCACTATTCTGTTTGATTTCTTGATTGCTGCTTCCATGGGAATTGATTGTGGATCCAAGTAAAATGAAATCTTTGAAAACACCAATTTTTCTCCATTTCACCATGTTGCTTAATGGTCTACTTCTGAGGATTTCTGTTTTCTTTATGTTGAGGCATCCCATTCTATCCATTTCTTCTCTTTTCCTACTGATCCACTTTACATTTTCAAATCAGAAATTCTTCAACACCCTGGATATCTTGAAAACAAATTTTTCTTTACTTTTTGAATTCTGTTGAATTTCCTCCTTCACCCAGCTTGGAGTCTATGTTATGTAGTGAAAAGTGTATATCACCTAATATCTACCCTTCCTTTCTTGCTAACCCCCTCAATGTACTTTGTTTTTCCTTGAAAAACTCTAATACTGGTTAATTTCAAATATCCTCCCAATCTACCCCACATTAGCAGCTAAATAGTGTTGAAAAATACGTTCTCTCAACCTCAGTATCCTCTCTCCTAATGGCCTTTCCTCTTACTTCACTCTATACCTTTTCCTTCTATTACTAAAATTTCCATTCTGTTATATCTGTACTCACACTCTCAGCCTTCCTTCTTCACATTTTTTACAAAATACTTGCTTGTTCTTATCAAAAGACACCCTGTTCCTTTTGCTCAGAATTCCAGTCCCTCTGTTTTTTACATTTACTACAAGACAGTTCTGTAATTTTCTTCTTACCCTTTTGCTTCATTAATCTTTTTTACTTTTATAGTTGAACATTCCTTCTTAGTGCGTTGAAATACTTTACCTTCATCTTAACAAAGCACAGTTCTTGACTGTCTACTTACACCTGTCCATCTATTATTGTTCCAATCAAACACATAGAAAACATTACCTGTAGTCACTGACTTCCAGTTCCTCACCTTTCATTTTCTTCTCATCTGACTGAATTATGCTTCTGCCTTCATTATTCTGTGAACCACTGCTCTTATCTAGAAAACAGGTGGCCTCTTTGAGTCATCCCAAGGGTCACATCTCTGTCCTTTTATTACTTGACTTCCCGGCAGCATTCAGCAAGTTAAACAGTCCTTCAAGCACTTTCTTTGCTTATTCTCACCGACACAAGCAATCTGGGTTTCTGCTGTCATGATGTCTGCCGCCTCTCAGCCTGCTATTTTGAGTCTTCTCCTTGAATTAAACTCTATATGTTAGAAGATTGCAGGGCTCTGTTCTGAGTTCCCTTTTCTTGTTTCTCTAAATATACTTTTAAAAGTTACCTTAGTCAGGCCTTTGTCTTCAAACACAATGTTCCCAAATCAGAAAATTTAAGTATCTGTTTGATATTTCCCTATGCAACTCTGTTGTTGTTGTTGTTGTTATGTGCCATGGAGTCAGACCAGACTCATAGCGACCCCTCTTTGGGTTTCCGAGGCAATATCACTACGGAATTAGATTGCCCCATCTTCCTTCTGAGGAGTGGCTAGTGGGTTTGAACCACCAGACTTCTGGTTAGCAGTCTAGATTCATTTAAAATTAAAAATGATAAAATAATTTCTCCCATACCTCCTCATTCTCCCCAATCATCTTCATCCCATTAAATACATAAATAAAAAATTTACCAATGATCAAGTGTTTACTATGTGCCAGAACTGTCCCCAGTGTATTGCATATATTAAACTATTTAGTTTCCAAAACTTTATGGTCTTTCTCTTTATTCTAATGTAGAAAATGAGGGATAAAGAGGTTAAATAATCTGTCAAAAGACTCACAAATCAAGACACAGACCAAGACTTCAAGCCCAAGTCTCTAGCTTTAGAGATTATGCTGTGCTTTTTTATCACATGCTATGCTGCCTACAAAGATTTATATCTTTGTTGTCCACAAACTTTTCCATATCAAAGTCTCCCATAAACAATTAATAAAATTGTGCCATAATTTGTAACTACAAAAGGTATCCTTAATCTACCCATGAGTTTTCAAATTCCTTAAGGTGAGTCAACCAGGACACTATGGTCTATCGCATGGTATATTGCAATAGTTTCTGTATACTTGCCTTGATTTGAATATTGGGGCCCTAAGCCCATTCTTCACATGCAGCCAGAGTGAACTTTCTTAACAAAAAAGAAAAGAAAAGAAAATCAGCTATTTTTTCTCTTTGATTTAACACTTCTGGTGATTAAAAAAAAAAATTAAACCTTATATCTCTGGCTAACAATGCCTTCCTCTGTCTGTTGCCTTTCTCTTTGCTTCCCATTTGTCATAAGCTGTCAACAAGCCACTTTCTATATTATCACTTGATTTCAAATCTCTGCATAGTACACTTCAACTGGAGATTTTCTCATTTATTTATTTACCTCTGATTTCATTAATTTTCTTTCTCAATTAAAATGTAACTTCCATGACAGCAGAAACTTCTGTGTTTTACTCACTCCTATATTGCTGGAATAACACTTAGAGTAGTGTCCCTGGTATAAGAATCCTACTAAATAACTTGAAGGATGCAATTTGTGAATAAATGAAAAAAAAACAATCATTCAAAATAAAGAGTGCTCTTGTAATCCTCATTCAAACTTTAGACTAGACCTCAAAAGTCATTCTTTCACTTCTGTTTTACAAATAAATGAAGAAATCTTCACACTTTATTTGAAATTCTCTCTGCATTTCATATTATTATTGTCCCACCAACTGATGAAAGGCATATAATAGAAGTATAATAAGATTACCATGTGATCATTGAATTGTATTTTCTTTAAATATTTAGTCTTCACATATCCACATAATGATTTATATGATACAGTGATTTCAATAATTTATTCATAACATAAAATCCATAATTCATGTTTTTAATTTAAAAAATTGGTTTGTGTTTCTTTGTTTATTAAATTTGTTGCTAAAAAGAAAGCAGGCAAGGAAGGTAATGTTATCGAATGAAGTGTGTCCCCAAAAAATATGTGTTGTTAATTTTAGGTTCTATAATAATCCCATTTGAGAATGAGTTGAATTTGCCATGTTAATGAGGTAGGAAGAGTATAGGTGTACTTTGAGTCAATTTCTTACAAGATATAAAGAGCAGATGAAGAAAAGCAAGAAAGCAGAGATGAGGGAAGAGAGATGACAAGCCACATGAAGACTGCCCATGAGTAAAAGCTAAATGAGACAAGGACCTTCCACTGCTAACGCTCACAATGTTCTGGAGAATCCATACACCCTCTGTTTGTTGTTCTATCAAAGAATACCCAGATTTATCTGTTAGCTGATAGTTATTCAGTTTTCCAAATTTGTACAAATAAGATACAATGTACCCAGATTGGTTGGCTTTCTCCCCTTGTTTTTTTAAACTCTGCTTTGCATTTTTGTTTTTTGTATCAGCCTACTGGTTTACTGCTTCTCCCATGAGAACTAGTTGGAGTGTAAACTGAATTACCAGAATATTTAACTCATTTTTTATTTATTCTTTGAAAATATTTCTTAATGCCCCTGGGTTTCTAACAAATCCCATCTTGTTAGAAAAAAAAAAAAAGTTAAGAAAAAAAGGAAAACCCAACCAATCACTCCCATTAAGATGTATCATTTCCAGACCTCTGCTAATTTTTCTTTCCACAGCACCCTCCACTCCATCCCAGTTATGGTGTCAAATGACCTTAGCCCTGACTCTTCTGTGTCTTCTACTACTGATTGGATTGGGAATCTTAGGAAGTATATGTAGGTATTATGCTTGCACCTAAAAATGCATGAATTTTACAAACAATATTTCTTTGTGATTTGAGACCTTGGAATTACTATATATGATATGCCCAAAATCTGTACATAAAATAGAGTGCTAAGAACATAGTATTTACTCTTTTTCCCCTATTCCTTTAGAGAATACTTCCCTACTTTAATCTTTTCAATATCATTTCTGCAAAAAGGAAAAAAAAAAAGTAGTCCTATAGAGGGATAAAATATTTGATTATCTTTTTATTTTTTTAATTTAATCTGGAGATTACAGAACCATGAAGATACAAATGGAAAAATTGAATAATCTGAAAAATATCAAATATGATCTTCAGACAAATATTTCTCTACAACAGACGAGCATCATGAATCTTTCCATCACACTGCAAAACATGGCCACTGAATTATGTCGTGAGATTTTAAAAAGCCAAAAAGGTAGTCTTATGTTCCTCTCTGAATTAATAGACAATGAAATAAACTTTAGAGACTCTTGAGAATCATTTTTTTTTCAGTCGATAGGGACCTCTCTCGAAAGATCTATTGTTTGAATAAGGAAATTAAATATGATCGACAGAGGACTCATTGATATTACTATGCAATTAGAAGAAAAACAGAAAAAGGAATAGTAACTTTAAGCTCCCAAATAATCAGGGATGACCATTACTCAATAAAACATTAGATTTTATGGGTGAGACTAATCCCATTGTTTTCATAAAATGCAATTTCTCCAATGGACATTTATTACTATTATTCTGGGGCACTGAAGTCAAGAGAGGAGCCCTGGGGAAACAGTGGTGAAATGATGGACAGCTAACAAAAAGTCTCCAGTTCAAACCCACCAGCTGTTCTGAGGGTGAAAGATGTGACAGTGTGCTTCTGTAAAGATTTATAGACTCGGAAATCCTATGAAGCAGTTATATCATGTCCTACAGTGTCACCGTGAACAGGAATCAACTCCAAGGTATACTATGGAAGTCAATAAGAGAAAAGACTGAAAAGATATCAACTTATAGGTGACCTAGTTCTTAAATTTAATTAATTAATTTTTATTGTGCTTTAGGTGCAAGTTTACAGAGCAGAGTTTGTTTTACGTTCAACATTTCATGTACATTTTGTTTCACTCCCCGATTACCATCCCCAGACCTAACCGACTCTCCTCCCCTCCCTGCCCAGTAACCACCACCACCACCACCACCCCCCGTGCCCCTCATAGTTACACACTCCTGTGTGTCCTACATTTTCTCCATGCAAATATTGTGCCTCTGGTGCCCCATGGTCAATTGCTCCAAGGGATACATCTCCATAGAGTTTGTGGGTGTGTCACCCTGGGTTGAGTGGTCTGCATTTATGTCTTGTTTACTGTTGGACTGAGAACCAGCCTCTGGGAGTGAGTTTTATTCCAGGCCCGAAGTGTATCCCAGGGCCATAGTATTGGGGATCCCACCAGACACCATCCGACCAGTAATTCTGGTCATTATTGTGTTTTGGGATTTTTGTTCTTTGTTTTTCCTCCCACTCTATTTAAAATCTGGTTCTTAGATTTTAGTCAGTGATTGATGAGAAAGATAATCATTGGGAACTAAATCAATAAATAAAACCAGAGATTATATTTTTAATTGGAGAAGTTGACTTTATGAGCTACTTGAGCTCCTGAGAAGCCTCTAAAATATCCAGCAAGTCAGAGAGCTAGAGCTGCTCTCATTGGTGAAGGCAAGGGTGATGCAGGTGTTTGGAATTGATTCTCCCCACAAGGAATGCTCCTTGTGATTATATTTTGTTGCCAGGGTGGGATACCAAAAATGAAAAAGGGAAACAGAAAAATCAATTTTTCATTACTCTGGCTTCCTAATGCAGGAGGGAAGAGAAAACAGATTGGAATCCATGTGTTTAATTTAAAATGTGTTTGTTATTCCATTTATATGTTGGACTCATTTTGATGATAGATAACCAGTTGCTGTCGAGTTGATTTCATTTATGGTAACCCAACGTGTGCCAGCGTAGAACTGTACTGATTTTAATGGCTCATTTTTCGGAAGTAGATTATCAGGCCTATTTTCCAGGTACTTCTGGGTAGACTTTAACCTCCACCCGTTCAGCCAAACACATTCACCATTTCCACCAACCAGGGATTCCTTGATAAAAGATAGGGATCCAAAGTATAGGATTCACTTTCTTCTCTTTTGATACACAAAGAAGAAATGCATGCAAATTGAAACAACTTAGCACAGAGATTAAAGGGATAATGAGAATGATGGAGAATAACAATACATATGAAATAAAATTATATTCTATTTCCAGAGCACAAATGTAAACCTTGTCCAGAGAACTGGAAGTGGCATGAAAACACCTGTTATGGCTTATCTGATGGTACTGAAACATGGCAAAACAGTGAAAGGATATGTTCTGCTCAGAATGCCAGCCTATTGAAGATTAAGTCCCAAAGTGTTTTGGTAAGACCCCATGGCTCTCTACCTTTAAGAGAGGAAATCTCTATTTCATCAAAGAATAGAATACAGTAGAACATTTGAGGGGAGAGATATTAGCCCAGATGTGATTCTGCCTTATTTTAGTTACTTATCTTTGGAAGTTATAACCCAGATAACTCATATAAATCTTCAGCTTGAGACCTTAGGATCAGTAGATTCTTAGAAGTCAATGGGTAGGGATAGATACAGGGCATCCAGAATGATCTGGTAAGAGGATTTTCAAAAAGGAATTCTAAGTGAAATCTCAGAACATTGCTTCTGAACTTTTATCAAAAAAGAGAGGATTTGGGTATTATTCCTGAGGGTTACTAACTCCATAAAATCTATATAAGAGGAGATTCTTTGTTTTCACTATTTCAGTTCTTTGTGTTGTTTTGTTTTTTTAAATTAATAGCTAAAGCTGAAGATATCAGGATGGTTTGGATAAAAGATGTATTGTTGTTATTTGTCATTGACTTGGCTCTGACTCATGCTGTTTTAACATGTAACAGAATAAAGCGATGAAATGGTGCCTGGTTCTGCACCACCTTCACGATCGTTGGTATGTTTGAGTCAATTCTCATGGTTGCTATCTCAATTCATCTCATTGAGTGTTTTCTTTATTTTCACTGACCCCTTATTTACTGAACACGATCAAACTTAGAACAAATACATGCACAATTCTCCTTACAAGTGAGGATGGAAAGGCTGCAGATCACTTATCTCATACACATCTTCAGAAAAGACCAATCACTTGAATTTTGTTCACATTGAAGTGTCACTGAGTAGGCTCTGACTAAGTGACCTTATATACAACAGAGTGAAACACTACCTGGTCCTGCACTGGCCTCACAATCCTTGCTATGCCTGAGCCCATCATTGCAGCCACTGTGTCAATCCATCTCATTGAGAGTCTTCCCTTTTTTGCTGTCCCTCCACTTTACCAAGCATGATATCCTTCTCCAGGAAACAGTCCCTTTGACAACATGAGCAAAGTAGGTGAGATGAAGTCTGGCCATTCTCACTTGCAAGGAGCATTCTGGCTGCACTTTTTCCAGGACAAATTTGTTAGTCCTGGTGTCCATGATAATTTCATTATTTTTCCCTAATACCACAACTTGAAAGCATCAACTACTCTTTGGTCTTCCTTATTCATTGTTCTGTTTTCACATATGCATATGAGGCAATTAAGAATACCATGGCTTGGGTTAGGCACACCTTAGTCTTCAAAGAGACATCTTTGCTCTTCAGCACTTGAAAGAGGTCTTTTGCAGCAGATTTGCCCAGTGCTATAAGTCATCTGATTTCTCGACTGCTGTTTCCATTGGTGTTGATTGTGGAAAAAATATGAAATCTTTGACAACTTCAATCTTTTTATCCATTTATTGTGATGCCACTTATTGGTCCAGTTGTGAGGATTTTCATTTTCTTTATACCATAAAGTATAGTGTAATCCATACTGCAGACTGTAGTCTTTAATCTTTATCAGTAAGTGCTTCAAGTCATGTTCACTTTCTGCAAAAAAAGGTTGTGCCCTCTGCATATTCCAGGTTGTTAATGAGTTTTCCTCCAATCCCGATGTTACATTCTTCTTCAATCTAGCTTCTTGGATTATTTGCTCAGCATACAGATTGAATAAGTATGGTAAAGGATACAACCCCGATACACCCCCTTCCTGATTTTAAGCCATGTAATATCCCTTTATTCTGTTTGAAAGACAGCCTCCTCTCCTATGTACAGGTTTCTCATGAGCACAATTAAGTGTTCTGGAATTTCCATTTGTGGTAGTTAAGCTTGTGTGTCAACTTGGCTGGACCTGGTTGAGTCGCTGGGCAGCTGGATGTAGTACTCCCCATGATAAACTGGCAATCCACTCTATGGTGGAATCTACTGTGAGGAGCTGAATAGCTGCCTTAGGAATGTGGTCTGCTTCCTGTATATAAGGAGAAGCATTGGGAACAGTCTCTAACCTTTTGACATGCTTGAACCCTGCATGTAGCTAAGTCATTGTTCAACAGTGCGCCATGCCTTGCTGATCTTGGGACTTCATCTGGACTTGAATTAGTGGCCTGCCATGTTTTTTGGTAACATTGGGACTGTGCCTTTTCACTTGTCAACCTTGGGCTTGTCAGCCTCTGTAGCCAGCAGCTGTCTGAGTAAAGAAATGTGTCCAGCTTCAGTGGGCCAAGAGTAGAAGGCAGAGCTGAAGTCCAAGGTTGAGGGGCTTTTACCCAGCATCTAGAGCCTGGCACTTTGAACTTGGACTTAAAGCCTCAAAACTGTAAGAAAATTAACTCCTGTTTGTTACAGCCATCCCATTGGTGGTATATTTCTGTTAGAGTGGCACAGAGGTAACCAAAATAGCATTCTTCTCAATGTTATCCATAATTTGTTATGATCCACACAGTCAGATGCTTTTGCATAGTCAATAAAACACAAGGAAACATCTTTCTGGTATTCTTTGCTTTCAGCCACGATCCATCTGACATCAGCAATGATATCCCTCATTCCACCTCCTCTTCTGAATCCAGCTTGCATTTCTGGAAGTTTTCTGTCAATATATTGCAACTGTTTTTGAATGATCTACAGCAATATTTTACTTGTGTGTGATATCAATAATATTCTTCAGTAATTTCCACAATCTGTTAGATCACCTTTGTTTGGAATGGGTACAAATCTGGATATCTTCCAGTCAGTTGGCCAGGTAGCTGTCTTCCGAATTTCTTGGCATAGACAAGTAAGTGCCTCCAGCACAGGCCCCATTTGTTGAAACATCTCAATGGGTATTCCATCAGATCTTGGAACCTTGTTTTTCACCAATTCCTTCAGTGCAGCTTCAACTTCTTTCTTCAATATTATTGGTTCTTGATCATATGCTACCTCTTGAAATAGCTGAACATCAATCAAATGTTTTTGATACAGTGATTCTCTGTATTCCTTCCATCTTCTTTTGATGTTTCCTACATCATTCAATACTTTGTCCCTAAAATCTTTCAATATTGCAACCTGAGGCTTGAATGTTTTCTTCAGTTCTTTCAGCTTCAGAAATGCTGAGTGTGCTCTTCCATTTTTGTTTTTCTAACTCCAGGTCATTTCACATGTCATTATAATAATCAATTGTCTTCTCAAAGTGCTTTTTGAAATCTTCCATTCAGCCATTTTATTTTGTCATTTCTTCCATTTTCTTTAGCTAGTCTCCACTCAAAAGCAAGTTTCAAGGTTTATTCTGATATTCATTTAGGTCCTTTATTATTTTCCTGTCTCTTTAATGAACTTTTGCTTTCTTATGTCTGATGTTCTTGATGTCATTACCACATTTCATCTGGTTTTTGATCATTGGTGTTCAATTTATCAAACTTATTATTAAAATCACTTGAATACATCATCAAAATATTCACAAATAACTAGAATTAAGATAGCATGACAGAAGCAAATGCCAAGCATATGTATTGCACTGTATCCTTGGGTCCCAGGAAAAGTGAGTTCTCTGGTTGTTGTTATGTGCCATCGAGTCAGATCGGACTCATAGCGACCCCTCCTTGGGTTTCCGAGACAGTATCACTACAGAAGTAGATTGCCCAACCTTCCTTCCGAGGAGTGGCTGGTGGATTTGAACCTCCAGCTTTCTGGTTAGCAGTCAAGTGCCTTAGGCACTTTATTAATTTTTTATTTCATATTTCTCTTATAACTAGATAATCCCTCCAAATTTTACTTCTCACTCTGTTTATAGTCTCTCAGAAAACAATCATATATGTATATTTTAAGTAAATGCACATTTTCCTAAGAGTCTCTGCTTCTATAGTATGAGAATTTCTGCCTAACTTTTTACAAGCACAAGAAATTAATCTACCTTCTCTTCCTCTCCAGATCATTCTCAAAAGACACATTCATAGTGGTTTATGTATTTTTAAAAAGAAAGCATGGAATTAACAACAACAACAAAATGTTATTCAATTCTAACATTCTTGACTCATTCTGAATTTTATTACTATATCCATTCTCATCTGACTCTCCTACATTTTTCTCTTATTCTTTTTATATTTCTATTATGTTTACCATCATGAACTAACTCCTTTGCTCTGGACCAAATATTTAGTACTCAAGCATGTGAATCTTATAGTTTGTGAACTTTCATTGACCCTAACTTAAAGCTAAGGAGCCCTGGTGGAGTAATGGTTAAATGCTTGGCTGCTAAGTAAAAGGTCAACAGTTCAAACTCCACATGAGAAAAGACCAGACAATCTTCTTTAGAAAAGACTATAGTTTATGGAGGGAGCTCTGGTAGTGTAGAGCCTAAGCACTTGACTGCTAACCAGAAGGCTGGTGGATCAAACCCACCAGCCACTACTACTACTAGGAAGGAAGGTTGGGAAATTTACTTCCATAGTGATACTGCCTTGGAATCCCATGGAGGGGTTGCTATGAGTCAGGTCCTACTCGGTGGCACCAAACAACAACATAGTCTATGAAACAGTATGAGAGAGGTCTAGTCTGACCTACAAGGTCACAACAACAGTAACTTTAAATTATATTTGCAATGGTAAATCCATTTTTTCAATTGAGACAGTGCTTAACATTCTACAAATTATATTCTAAAAAAGAAAATGTTAAGTGATGAGCACTGAGGAGTAAGCCTAAAATTCATATTAAATATTGTTTGCTGCCTTGACATCTCATGGGACTAGAGTGAAGGAAGGACTCAAATTGCCTTAGTACAAGGTACTCTTCTACCCCCACAGATAACCACTAGTCAAACAATCCTCTTATTAAACACACAAAAGGCAGTTTTTGAGTATACCTGAATAGTAGGCTTCAGTTCCCTGAAGCCTGTGGAATCATTCAAGCAAGCCAACCAGATCCTCCCACTGGATCCATGTGGAACCCCAAACTGTAAAGGCTGATTCCCATGGCCTCTGCTTGTTCACTGTCTTCCCAAGTGCAAGTCCTGTGTGTCTGTGCATGGCGGATGGTGTCATTCTCTCCTGGGCTGTCAGTACATGTGATTAACAACCTGCTGCCACATCAAGTGTCAGTGCCAGTTGTCCTGTGTTTCTCCTTCCCAATACCCCTAGGATAGGAATCCTCCCTCACTCATGAGTGAGTACAGAGGATCAAAACAAGCACTTTCTTTCATTGGCATTGAAAAGTAGTAAAGAAAGTAAAAATTGTGACCTTGAAATAGCAATGTGTAAGATATTGTGTCATGAAATAGTGTACAGAGGTAGAACTCAAAAAATTAAAAAATCATCTCTATTTCTTATAGAACTTTATAAAACTCCAAATACAGTCAACATATTGGGTGGGACTATCTCCCCAGAAGGATAACAAAGAATGGAGCGAGTTAGATGACAGAATTTTGTCCTCTGATTGGTAAGTCTTATACTCTTGTAGAATTTTTATAGTTGGGTTGAGTAGAGGTGCTTTCCTCTGGAGCATTGTAGATTCTGACCAGCTTCAACTGAACTTACTTGATTAAAGAGAGCTTTTCTTTCAGATATCTGTGATGTATTTAAAATTCAGTAAATTGTAATGAATGTTTCATCATTATTTTGACAAGAGCTAACTATAATAAGCACAAGAAGGACAATTTTGGTGAATGATACTTTTGTCATACAAAATTATAGAGGTAAACAAAATTCACTGGACTCTAATACACACCCAATACTGTACTAAGTGCTATAGATGCAAACATAAGTGAGAGCCTGATCCTTCTCTTAAGTTATTTAGTCAACATTAGTAACAGTATGTGCAGTGTGTGCAGACTGATCATGTAATTCTAGACATAAGCAGAAGGTAATGTTATAAATACTTCAGTAAGATATATAGAATATCAGAAATATGTTTTATCTTGATATTTGTATTTTAACTAATATTTGAAATTGTCATTTTTAAACGCAAAATGTAGAGACAAAATAGAACATTTCAAGTCAAGAGAATAAAGGGCCTTTAGTATGGTATTTTTCATGCAAGGAATATATAATATATTTTGTGTAATATATTGAGGAATGTGATTATGAATGTGCTGTTATTAGTAGACTTTTATATTGTATTTGTCAAGCTTGTAATGGAACAAAAAGAAACACTTCAAGACTTCACATAAAAATGTCAGTAAAATTCAGTTTTATAAAACTCTAATGTTTGGGAAGTAATTTGTAGTAGAATGGGGAACACAATAGACAATTCAAGTTATAAGGCAGTAATGATGAAATTTAAAAAACAAAGAAGTTGCCATCAAATTGATTCCAAGTCATGAACACCTTTGTGTTACAAACATTTATGAGCTTGACTACTAAGAGTAACCTTGGGGGTTTGAGTCCACGCAAAGGTTTCTCAGAAGAAAGTCCTGATGAACTACTTCCAACAATTTAATCATGAAACACAACTCTATTCTGACATAGGTCAATATGAGTCAGAACTGACTTGAGGGCATTGTTATGTTTTAAATAATGAGTTAGGAAGATAGATAAAACACCCACAAAAAAAAAAAATAGAAAAAAGAAATATGAAGGAAGCGAAATATATGGTAAACATGGAGTACAATGAAAGAATGTGTAAAGAGGAGTTCCAGTAAGATGGCAGAATAGGCAGACAAACTACACAGACCCTCTTCAACAAAGAAAAGGGGAACAGATACAGAAGATAATCCTGGAGCCCTGAGCTTTGAAAGGAAGGATGGACAAGTGGATTAAACTCCAACTACTAGAAGAACTTGTATGAAAACAACAAAAAAGGAGACATATGGAGCTACAGTCTGTCAGCAATCCTGTTGGCATGGGCAGCTTGGATATTTCCAAGTGGTATTAAGACTTAAGAATTAAACTAAAGATGAGTCCTGCTCACCAGACCTGCATAGAGGACTGCACTGGTGGCTGGACAGTAAAAGTGGAAGCAGTGAAGAGAGAGATGGGCTGAGCTGTGGATTTTGGGCTGTCTGGAGGGTACAGCCATTTTGAATGTTTATAAGCAGTTTGACCATTTAGGATATTTAATGCTACAGTGTTCTCCCAGATTCCAGGGACTTAAGAATGGGCTCTATTTGCCGGGAACCACGAGGACATTCAGGACACCAATGCCTGGAAAGGTATGATATTTCCCTTGTTACTCTTATACCCCACACCCTCTTGGTGAATGGAGGTGCAACTATCCCTCACTCCCACCCACCTTCTGGGCTGGCAGGAATTTCATCCCAATCTGTGTGCTCAGATGGAGCCTGGGTGCCTTGCTCCACCCTAGACAGATTTTTTTTTTCCTTTTTTTTAAGGTTGCTTGTTTTTGTCTGTTTTTAAATTATTATTATTATTATTATTTTTATCATTATTATTATTATTTATTCTTCCCATCCCAGGTTCTAGTTTTCAGCTTTTTCTCTCTTCCCTGTTCCTGGATCCCATTTTTTAACTTCTCATGGTTAACCCCATTCCTTGTTTTTCTTTTTGCATTTGTCCCATTTTTTTCTTCATTATTCTCCTACTCTACCTTTTTTCTCTTGCAATATCTCTTCCCAGATATTGTGGGTTTTTATTTTTTTTCTTTCTTTTTTTGATGATTGCTCCTGGGTGTTTATGCGGTATGTTTTTTGTACATTTGCTTTTACTTTTTTGATGTTTTTTCAATTGTTGTTTTTGTCTAACTGAATGGAAGACAGCAACAGTGCCCATACAATGCAACTACACATTCACCTCCTGCAGCTTCACTTACTTAGTGAGAGACCATTTCCTTCTTTACCAAGTGGCCAATGATAAATGACTACAAAGAAGAACCTGACTCACCCTTAGCTGCTCTTCACAAACAGTTCACAGAGATCTAAATACAATAATGCCATAATGTATCAGAGACAAAAGACAATCACAGTCCACACAAAGAAGCAAGATAAAGTGGTAGAAACAAGAGAGCAGGATACAGACCCAGAACACATCCCTGAGGAAGAAACAGCAGTGGAACTCCCTGATAAGGAGTTCAGAAGAATTATATTTCAGTATCTTCAAAGGATTGAGAGACAGATCAAGGAAAACACTGGCAAAAACCTAGAAGAATTTTGGAAGAAAATACAAAAACAAAATGACAAAATAAATGAAAAATTAAAAATGATACAAAATCTACAAATAGAAATCCAGAAGATTAATACTACATTTTCAGAAATAGATAACACATTGAAAGGACAAAGGAGTAGAATTGATACAATGGAAGACAGAATTAATGAGATTGAAGACAAATACCTGAATACTTCCTTGGAAAGTATCAATCAGAAAAAAAGATCAAAACAAAAGGAATAAAGCCTAAGGTTCATGTGGGATGCCATCAAAAGGAATAACTTACATGTCATTGGAATTCCAGAACAGGAAGAGGAAAAGAAAACCACTGAGAAAATTGTCCAAGATTTGTTGGATGCGAACTTTGATATGAAGAAAGATGAGAATATAACCATTCAGGAAGTCCAGGAAAACCCAACCAGGACACACCCCAAAGGAAAATCACCAAGATATATCATCATCAAACTCATCAAAACCAAAGGCATAGAAAGAATCCGGAAATCCAAATTCCCATGCATGGGAAAAACAAAATGTTACCTACAAAGGACAACCAATACCAATAAACTCTGATTTCTCAGCAGAAACCATGCAAGGAAGAAGGTAATGGAATGGTATATATAAAACCCTGAAAGAGAAAACTTTCCAACCAAGAATTATATACATGTCAAAATTGTCCTTAAATATGATGATGAAATTAAGAGATTTCCAGATAAGCAGAAATTAAGGGGTATTTGTTAAAACCAGACCAACCTTGCAAAAGATACTAAAGGGAGTCCTTTGAATAGAGAACCAATAGTAGCAAAGAACAACTGACCATTAATACACAAGATGACATAACCCAGAAACCACAACTATGGACATATTTAAAGTAAAATAAGTTTTACAGGATTGTAAACAGGGAACCAGAGACATCAATTGGTAAATGAGGACAACTACAAACCAAAAAGAGGGAAAATACTGTGTAGTTACAGAACTTCTAAATGGTGAGGAAGTCAAGAGTGTTGCAAGATAGAATGGACTGTTCTAAACTCAGGGAGAAAATTATAAATCACAGGGTAACCTCAAAGAAAAATGACAAAGCTTCACACCACAATGACTAAGCTACTTAGTCATCACTTGTCTGTGCAGACTGATTCTACAACTCTAGAGATAAACAGAATATAATGTGATAAATGCTTCAGGAAGAATAAATAGAATATCCAGAAAAATTTTATCTTTTATATTTGTGTGATAACCGATGTTTGAAATAGGCATTACATTTCTCCAAAAGATAACATTTTTTAATTTACAAGTTTGTCATTAATGCACAGTTCATGGTCACTATTGGCTATTACCAATAACCAGGGCCTGTCAAATTGATCACAACTCATGGAAATCCTTTGTGTACAGAGTATAAATGTGCTCCATAGGGTTTTCTATGGCTCATTTTCTGGCAGTAGATCACCAGACCCTTCTATGAACCTCTGTGTGGGTTTGAACTGCCTACTTTGCAGACCATTTAAAAGTTTTCAGGTGTATTTGAACTTCAGAGTAAAATCTCTGAGCATGCCTAGAAGGAAACATCACTTGAGAATCTTATGCAATAGATATGATTTAGATTTAATTCTAAATCATATTAGATTATGTGGTGAGTGAGCTAATCCTGGAAATAAGGGACAGGAAATAATACAGATATGAGATAGTGGAAAAAACAAAAGAAAGAAGGCAGTGTGTGACATGATATATTTGTTGATTGAAACAAGTAACTTGAACATCCTTGATATTCTGTACATTCATTCAAATTCACTGTAGACAATTCAGATATTAGGAGCAATAATGTCATGTAGGAAAAGTAAGTTTTCGTGATGTGTTTCAAATCTTTAACTTGCCAAGTGCAATTCTTTATTGTCTTTTTCAGGTTTACAGGAAATGTGAAACACTTAAATTATGGAATGTATTGTGGATGTATAGACAAAGCATATGTTCATTATAAATACTGTACTTCAGCAAAAAAATTTATATGTGAGAAATTGGCCAATACAGTGAAGATTGAAAGTACAATAATGATTAAATTTCCACAGGGAAGAGGATAATTAATGCAATTATTGTGTCTCAGCCTGCAATTGAAGGCAATTTTATACAGTATGTATCTCTTGGGCTATAGAGGTGGAATAAAGATGTTGTAAGACTAAATTTCTGCCTTTTTCTTAACATTTACATCTTCAAACATTCTTTTTTTCCTTTCATTTGCTGAGTGAAAAGAACCTAAATTTGTACCTTACACTTTAGGTACTGATCAGCATAAATGCAGTGCTTTCTACTGAGAAGATGGGAACACAAGGTTGATTTTTCCCTTGCTTTTCCTAAAAGAAACAAGATACATATCAACTTTATAGAAAATCAGAGAAAATTAAATTT